AGTCATATTTGGATAAGTAATTTTCCGATAAGTTTCTGTGGCAGCCAATAGTTTAATTTTGTAAAGATTTATCATTAAATAGTGGAAATAGTTTAAATAGTGAAGCAGTTGATTTTTGAGTTAATCTACCAGTTCCGGTATCCAGATGAAATAGTGTTAATGGAGTTTAGTTAAAAAACAAGATACCGAATGTAAGTTTACCTTCTTTTTTATGTATAACAAAAATGAATATTATATTTGAAACAATCCACAATCCGATTTAGAAACTAATTCATTAAAATCAATTATTACACTAGATATGTGGCTGGTATCAATTATAACTTACATTTCAAGAAAATGTCGTGGTTCTAAAAAGAACTGTTTTAATACATAAAAATATCCATAACGGTATTAGTTTAAGATATTTCCTCTATATCATTCCTGAATTCACACTCTGATTCGCGAGCGACAGAAACTGGTAATAAAGATGTCCGCGCCTCTTTTTTTAATTGAAAATAATTTATTAATTTTAATATTAGTCTTTGTTCATTCTCGGTATATCTCGGAATATTTAAAATATTTTTATGACAATAAATACAAAATTTAATTTTCACTGTAGGTAAAATATCTGAAAATACTAACCTGAAATGACAATTATCATTTTATCAGTTGACATTGTGAAAGTACTGTCACGATCGAGGACATCTGCGTCAAATTATATTTATGTACATCATTGATTTGATATCTATTTAGCGTATTCTAAACTCCAACCAATTATACATCCGTAAGTAGAATTCGCTTTAATATGCGAATACCCGTAAGCGATACCTAATTTTCTAAGTTCTATGTATAATAATTACAGACTCACGTTTTTTTCTGTCACTTCTAGCTTAATGCGTTAGAGAGAATTCGAACAACTATGACGCACTGAAAGAAGGGTTTGGGACGAACTATACATAACATATTCATTATAAAGGTCGCTTTACATTTACGAGTACTTGGGTCAGAGTAGCTCGGATTTGAGTTACGAGTGGAACTGCGATCGTTTACATTAAATCCGAGCGACCAGAGTAGTTTCAAAGATAATTTAAAAGTGGCGCCATCAAGAAAGAAACGAGCTGCTGTTGCATTAGTGTTATTAAGCATTTTAAAGGAGAAAAATAAGGACAAAAAATTAAGACAAAGAAAAGCATTTGGGTGAAACAACATTTACAAGGGGTATGTTAAAGTTAATGATTACCTAATTTTATCTAATTTAAAGCATTATTTCCTTTGATAATGTCCCGATACTCTTTTAGTTTCACATTCCATAAACATTCAAAAGATCGATAAATTGATCCATTTTATCTGCAGAAAATCTTAGTTCCGCCATTTTTAATTTGGAATTTTCACCACTTTGACGCTCACTCGTACAGGTACTCGTCCTGCTACTCAGTTTGCGTTCAACTTCAATCCGAGCTCGGATCCGAGTGACAAGAGGCTCCGAGTAGATTTTATACTTCCGAGTTGCACTCCGAGTAGAGTAACTTGGATCCGAGTACTCGTAAATGTAAAGCGGACTTTAGTCTGATCCTCTAACCCAAATTTGCCGGAAAAGAGAAAAAATCGAATTAAAAATTTTCCACTTTTTCAGCAAAAACAGACCTCCAAATGAAAATTTTTCTTACGAACCGTTAGATGTAGAAAAATTCTGAGCATCGCAGAAGAACGAGCGGTCAATTTTACGTAAGAAATGTCCACTCGCTTGACTCTCGGACGAAAATTGACGCCAATATAGCCGAATAACGAAATTTGAAAAAAATCCAACTCCTTGGATGATTTTTACCAATTTTTATTAAAAAAAAATTTTTTAGGGTTTGGTACAAGCACTCGGTCCAGCTTATTACAAAAATGTGTCAGTCTTATCCGCTAACCTAAATTTGCCAGAAAAGAGAAAAAATCGAATTAAAAATTTTCCACTTTTTCAGCAAATACACACTTCCAAATGAAAATTTTTCTCACGAACCGTTAGATGTAGAAAAATTCTGAGCATTGCAGAGAAACAAGTGGTTAATTTTATGTAAGAAATATCCACTCGCTTGACCCTCGGACGAAAATTGACGCCAATATAGCCGAATAACGAAATTTGAAAAAAATCCAAGGGTACCCCCTTGGATGATTTTTTCCTAAGTTTTAATAAAAAAATTTTTTTTTATGTTTTGGTACAAGCTTTCGGTTTAGCTTATAACAAAAATGTGTCTTAGTCTGATCCGCTAACCCAAATTTGCCGGAAAATAGAAAAAATCGAATTAATAATTCTCCACTTTTTCAGTAAATACAGATATACCAATGAAAATTTTTCTCACGAACCGTTAGATATAGAAAAATTCTGCGCATCGCAGAAGAACGAGCGGTCAATTTTATGTAAGAAATGTCCACTCGCTTGACTCTCGAACGAAAATTGACGCCAATATAGTAGAATAGCGAAATTTGAAAAAAATCCGAGTGTACCCCCTTGGATGATTTTTTCCTAATTTTTATATAAAAAAAAATTTTATGTTTTGGTACAAGCACCCGGTCCGTCTTATTACAGAAATGTGTCTTAGTCTGATCCGCTAACCCAAATTTGCCAGAAAAGAGAAAAATCGAATTAAAAATTTTCCACTTTTTCAGCAAATACAGACATCCAAATGAAAATTTTTCTCACGAACGGTTAGATGTAGAAAAACTCTGAGCATCGCAGAAGAACGAGCGGTCAATTTTATGTAAGAAATGTCCACTCGCTTGACCCTTGGACGAAAATTGACGCCAATACTGCCGATTAACAAAATTTGAAAAAAATCCGAGGGTGCCCCCTTGGATGACTTTTTCCAAATTTTTATTTAAAAAAAAAGTTTTTTTTATGTTTTGGTACAAGCACTCGGTCCAGCTTATAACCAAAATGTGTCTTAGTCTGATCCGCTCACCCAAATTTGCCAGAAAAGGATACCCCCTTGGATGATTTTTTCCAAATTTTTATTAAAAAAAAAACAATTTTTTTATGTTTTGATACAAGCTCTCGCTTGTGTCGCTTTGCTACCTGTATTGTTCGTAGTTGTGACATTTTGTACGGTCTCTATAAGAGTGTTGTTTAAAGCTCTTAATGTTTCGTCTATCCCATTTGGAAGACTCAACTGGTACATTCTCTAGAAGATTTTACACCCCAAAAAAAAACCTTGCGAAACAGTAATACAGGACAGAAAGAAAAGTAATTTTTTGATTGAACTTTCTTTAATGTGAACTCTAGTTTTTTGGCTTACATAATATATTTCTACAATTTGATTACAGTACTTTAACGCTACATATACAGTGGTGAGTGCTTTATCGCCCGGCTTTTTAACGTAAGAGATAGAAAACACAGTTACCTTGTGAAATAAAAAGAGATGAAACTCGTAAAGGTGGGAAATAATCGATAGAAACCTATAATTTACATTACATTACATTACCACCGTCGATAGTCTCACACCTTTAGACGTTATTATAGTATTAGAAGTGTTTAAAGTCGCTTTAAAACCAGGCAAAATAGCGGAAAGGATAGAAGATGGATTTTGTGAGAAAGAATGAGATAAAGCTAGTTCTTAGACGTGGCTATTTGACTTCAGTCATAATTATACGGATGACCGCGAAAATATTTTATTTTAATAATTTCTGATGTAAGAATAAATGATTAAATAAATTAAGAATTAAAGTAAAAAACATTAATTAGTGGCGATTTTAAATTATAAATCTTTAAGTTTATTTAATAATAAAAATAACTCAACTGAAATATTTCACTAAACTAAAGGTAGGTATGTTCTGTGCGAAAACATTAATTGTATGTGGAGTTGGTGTAATTATTAGACACGTAGTCTACTGACAAGAAGATTGGGGTTCAATTCCCACCAAGGATAAAATTTTTGTTTTACTCAATCAAAAAATAATAGAAAATATTATACATATTAGGTAACAAGTTTTCAAAAACTCATTATTTACAATTTATTCTTATTCCAATGTTATAAAACGGAAATACAAAATAATTCAAATTCAAAAAGATATTTATGTGTAACTTTAAACACTTCTAATACTAGTAACGACTGACATAAATGTTTAGTGATTCAAATCAAAACGATCTCTGCATAATTTCAAATTATTAAAAAAAAAGAAAACCACATATGGGTTTTGAACTCTAATCGTCTGCGTCGCAGTGTCGAATTCTTACCACTAATCCACAAAGGACTGATGTTTATTTCCGTGACAAGAGTGTATGAAACTCCTCAAATCATAGAAATTATTTTTGGTTATTAATTTAAAACCTTAGATTAAAAAAATATTCACTAATAATTAATTTATTGTATTCACATTTTTGCTTTTAATTGTGGTCAATCATTTTTTACTTTATGCAAATTTAAAAAAAATGTCACTGAAATACGTTACACATACGACGTCACAAATAATAATTATGACCGAGGTGATTTAGCTGAACTAACGTCTAAAGGTGTGAGACTATCGATAGTGTTAATGCAATGTAATGTAAATTATAGGTTTCTATCGATTACTTCCCACCTCTACGAGTTTCATCTCTTTTTATTTCACAAGGTAACTGTGTTTTCTATCTCTTACGTTAAAAAGCCGGTTGATAAAGCACTCACCACTGTATATAATTAATAAAGTTTACAAATCTAAATCTTCATTACTTATATTAGAATTACCAAAAATATTGAAATTCAATCCCACAGACTTTTGCGAACTGTTACTACCACCGGGAGACGGGTTTAGATATTTTTTCAGAAGGGCATTCATATCATCTTTGTTTTGTTTGTAATATCCGTCAGGTGTCAAGGACATAGTAAAGGTCTTTTGATTTGCGGTACTTTGTTTCTGACTATTATTCACGAAATAATCGAACGTAGACATCTCGGAAGATTTACTAAAAGAAAACGGCATCTTGCTTTCCTCTTTTCGTTTATTAAAATTAAAAAACTGTAGATCAGTTTCTTTGGAATTGATGAACTGTTCGAAACACTTGGCGTTTTGGTCGCTAAATATTGTCATGTCGATACTTTCATTCGAAAACGTTTTGGATATCGTTCGTTTCGGTTTCAACTTGTCCGTCTCGGACGCTACCACTTCGAAACCGCGCACGGTCTTGCGCAACGTTGCCACGTGTGTAGCGTCTTGAATCTGCCTAACAGACGGACGATTGAGGCGTTGTTCCAAATATTTAGTGTATTGCGATTTACTGGAACCACTCTCCAGCAAGATTCGATCTTGTTCGTCGAATTCTTGTTTTATTCGTTTGGCGGTGAGCTTGCGGGGAGGTACAAATTTTTTATTTATTTTTGGTTGTTGGGCGGATCCTTGTGCGCTACTGGTTGAGGTAGATTCGCCAGTGCCGTCGAGATTTCTTTTTTTAGAAGCAAATGAAATATTCGCCAAAGAAGACACATTTACTGTAATTTCATCATTCTCTGCATTATGCAACGTTATATCAGACGTTGGCCTTGATAATTCGTTTAATAATCTATTCGCGTTGTTAGATGTGTTTGATTTTACAGATCTACCACAGCTCTCACTAGTAGATAAGTTGCTGGGATTGCCATCTAAGTTTCTCTTTCTAGAAGCACTAGAAACACTGGTTATGTTATTTTCTTTCGCAGACTCTGAACTTAAATCGGCTGCATCATCTAAGTTTCTGCACTTAGACGCAACAGAAATACTTGTTGTCGAGTTTTTGTTACTAACTTCTTTAGATGTTAAGTTTTTTCCACTTGAATTTATTTTTTGAGAGGGAGATGTATTCGACAAGGACGTACTGTTGTTGTTATCTAAATTTTCGACAATTTTTTGAGAAATTATGTCCTGTATTTTGTCATGTTCATCTTTCGATGTATACTTAGTAATAATACACACGTTTGAAGAACATTCTTTAGCAAAAGATTCGCTTTTGTTCTTTTTTTCATTGCTCTCATTACTATTATAGTAATTTTGAGTTTTATTTGTAACTTCCTGAGGTATTAGTTCATCAGGAATCATGAAAGCACCTTGATCTTGTCTTCCTGTCATAATTTCGTAGTTATTTGTAGATTTAATCGGTAGAGCGTTAAATTTGGACTTACGAGTTTTACTTCTTCTACATATACTTCGTTTTGTGACTTTACTGAGCAATTTTTGAGATTTCTCGTTTTTAAAGTCAACTTTTTCATCATATATAGATTTAGATTCTTCGTTTTCTAATTGTATAAGATCTAGCTTATTATTAGCTTCATTAACGCCCTTGAGCTGGTCGTTAATTGTTTCTTTTTTCGATTTCCTTTTGGGGGCACATTTTTTCTTTCTAAGAGTAATTCGAGCTTGAAATAGAGGTAACATTGGTTGCCTATTTTCACGTTTTGGAGAATTTGAATTCGAATACATCAAATCGTCGATATCATTAGATTTATTATTGACTGAATCCAACAATTCCGCACATTTTGTATCCTTATCCAATTTCATTTTTTCAAAATCTTCAGAAATGTGTTTTCCTATTTTATTTTGTAACGCAGCAGCAACATTTTCTTCCTCCTGGTTGAACTCATTAACTATTTTTTCATCAGAGTCATTTTCCTCGCAAATCTTGAACATATCCTGCATTTTATCCAATTCATCAACACTGTTTACGTCATTTTTATCAATAATATTTTCATTCTGTGCATTAAGAAGAACGTTGGAAATAATATTTACTTTAATATCTTTTTTGGTCACATTAACATTTGTATCAACATCTTCATCATCTAAATCGACTGATAAGTCAGTTTTAACACTTCTACAGTTGTTAGTTTCGTTTTCATCGTCACTTATAGATGGAGTTGTGTTGTTTGGACCTTCAATAATTGTAACTATCGGAGAAATGTAATATTTGTAGGTATTTCTAGCGCTCATTTTATTATCGAACATAGGCGACTCCTTATCTTTTTCTTTAATGGTATTGAAGTGGTCGTTAGTGGTCGTCGATATTTTCACATCAACCTCTTGGTCCTCTTTCATTTCATTTTGAAATTCTTCACAAATAGATTTATATTCTTCCACAGAAACAATCGAAGACAGATCTAATGGATGGGTTGACTGAGACCACACCGCAGAATTCGCTGGTGGTGGTGACCCTTGGCTTCGTTCAGCTCCACTAAAATATGCTACAGGTTGTTGGGATCTTAAAGATTTATTTAGCGAGTGGAAAGAAAGTGTTTGTTCAATGGTCGAAGGGACATCACGTTGAGACAACATCGGCATTTGAAAATTCGGCGATTTTTTATACTCAAACGGATGGGAAGAGTGCAGTACACTTTGTTCTTGTTGATACATAGATGAAGTATAGATAGGGAAAAAATTTGTTCGTTCTTGGCACAAAGGAGGCATGTCAAAATTGGATATAATTGATCTTTCGAGAGCTTGTGGAAATACGTCGAGTTCATTTATGGTAACGATTGGACTAAGAATGTCTAATTGATCTGAATTAAAAGAAAATTTGGAGTGTAAACTGTTTGGAAAGCTTCGTTCTGAAAGATTAAGCATCTGAGGTGATAATAGTTCGTACCGGCTTGCTTGATTTTGAGGAGTAAAAATATTCTCCAATCTTGCTTCTTCTTGTAAGTATTCTTGGGTGGTCATGATGTTTGGTATATCATGCTCCAAATTGTTGATTTCGTCATTTCCCTCTTCATTTTCTGGTTCATTACATTGTTGACTTGAAGTGGGAGGAGTATATGGGTCATCATTTAAAGCTCCTATATAGCTTAAGTCTACTTCATACTGGAATAGTAATTGGTGAATTTTCGAGGCAGATAACAGTTTACGTCTTTTTAAATATTTAAATTCACTTTCCACATTATACTTTAGAACGAATTTTTGATCTAGCTGAGTGAATAAGGATTTCTGAAATAAAAAACATATATCACTTTTTTAAATCATTAATTTAAACTTGAATTTTGATAATACAAGTTGGTTTGGATAGAAAAAGTCTAGTATAAGATAAAGACAGATGAGTTTTGTTTTTTAACGAGAAAAATATTTAGAAGAATCTATAAAGCGGTGAGTCGAGAACTTAAGAAAATTTGTATGATATGGATACGTGAAAAGACATCACAGAACCATATTATATGAAAGAAACATACGAATTTAAACTATTAAAGTACTTCACCCAATCAGTGGGAAACTTTTTATCCCCCACATCCGCGTCAAATGGCTAAAATGAAACGTGATATGGGTACCTATATATTGCCAGAAAATAAATGTGTGTTTATGTAAGAAACATAAAATTAGCTGGCTGATTAATTAAAAGAGTAAAAAGTGGAATGTATGTGGTTGTAAATACAGTAATTAATATTTAAATGGGAATAAGCCACAATTAAAGGTTAAAATACTTTTATTGACGTTTCAATTTCCACACAGAAATCGTTCTCAAAATACAAACATAAATACAGTGGTAGTCAAAAGTCCGTTCCCCCTCCTATCTTTTGAACGGTTATTGTTATAATAGTGATATTTGGAGGAAGGTAATAAACAGACATCTTCAGACTTCAGACTTCTTAACAAGTCATAACAGGTGACTTATTATTGACAGATGACGTTACAGCGCCACTGTACACATATAATTACACTGTACACTGGACAGATAATTTTAAATGAGACCTCATGACGAGTGATACCTCGTTTGAAAGTCATAATAATTCTGTTTAAAGCTCATTTTGATGAATAAATTAAATAAATACTAAAATTATAGCTTTTCATTTAATTAATAAATATTTAACAACCAGTTCTTATAGTAAGTGTTCAAAATGTGCTTCATCTACTTCCTGACAGTAATGCATCCTATTTCTAAACTCTTGCCGTACTCGTTCAAATGTGTCGGGGAAAATTGACCTACAATTTTCAACAATTCGTTGTTTCAAAATATCTATATTGTCGGGAGCTGTAGCGTAAACTTTAGATTTCAAGTATAACCACAGAAAAAAATCTAATGATGTGAGGTCCGGTGACCGAGCTGGCCATTCTATCGTACCTCGTCGTAAAATCCATCTACCACGATATTGCTCATCTAGGTAACGTCTTACTGCACCATAATGGTGTACAGGACCACCATCTTCTTGAAACGTTATTTCCAAGTTGCCGAATTCATCTGGATTATCCTCCAGAGTTTCAAGTATTAAAGGTTCAATTACATTTTGTAACATCTCCAGGTACACTTCACCGCTTAAGTTAATATTGAGTAAAACAGGCCCAACTATGTGTTTCACGAAAGACGTGAGGATTTGTGTAACTTCAAGACCTCACATTGTGTGTTAACATTTCCATTGAGAGAAAAAGTACTTTCTTCACTAAACAAATTGTTTTTATGTAATTGGGCTGGTGGTTAAATTTATCGGACATATTTTTACAGAATTCAGTGTACTGTCCACACTCAGTGTACTGTCTTTTGACTGACTACATAGATAGATGCAACTTGCGCTGTAGAAGAAATAGGGTTCACAACCATTTCTGAAATTTTTTTGTCATCACTAATTTTTGGTCGACCACATCGTTTGACATCTTGAACACTACCTGTTTGTTTAAACTTCCGAAGAAGCTTCCTCAAATAAGCTCTCGATGTAAATCGATCGGGATATCCCTCATTAAAAAGACGTTCACTGCATGGAAATTTTTTCCTTATTTAACATTATTAACATTATTAACACAATTATTAACACAGCTGCTACTTTGTCGGCTACAGTACGTACCATTCTGCCTTTGTAAAAATTTAAACGTCTCAAACAATAATTAAATATTAATATTAACTAAGAACAACTAACTAAAAACAACTTGACTTATAACATTTGCAAATTCTTTGAAATATATATTGAAATATATTAAAATTCCCTCGTATTTGCTAAGGCATCGAAGAATGATTTCAGTGTATTTCTCTTTACTTTAGTACAAGTTAAATACAAAGATGTATTTTCAATCCTTTTTGCGTCGCGAGTTAATGTAAACACATTTTTAGAGTTTGTTTACACCACGGACGCGTAATTCTTTGATATTTTACTTTAACCGAAAGCAGCTCGATACTGCGTTTGAAATAAACAACCATTTAGAGGCTGAGAAGTTTTTGCCAGTAAGATAATTACGACACTCTCGCTGAGGCGTGGTCAAGAGCGGTAGGCTTCAGTGGTTAGTCCAAATTTTCTTCATATTCGTAAATGTTTTTTTATTGTTTCCTTGTTATGGAAATCTAGTGTTTTATAAAGTTAATAGTACCAGTTTATACAGTTCAATGTGTGGTTGCAGTTAAAGTGAAATATGAAATGTTGCCATTGTGTCTAGCTGTACCTATTCCTATTTTTTGAGAAGCCGAGATTAAAAAAATTTGTATTTCAGTTCCAACCTCAATAATGTTCAGTGTGATATGCAGTTTTTTTTTGTTAGTGTGTCTAGAGATTCCCAGTCCAGTTCTCCCAGAAATTCCAGAAAGTGCAGTAGGCCCAGTTTCCGACCCCCGAAGTGTAAAGTAGAGAAATTTAGTGAAAGTCGAGGTAACTTTTTGTTTTAAAATTTCAAAGTAAAATAATAATTTTTATTTGCCTCAGTTTATAGCTCAGTAACAATAGTAAGTGTTTCTCTTTGTTAATTTTGTATTTACTTTTGTGACTGTGAATATGGTATTTCTGTATTGTCTATTTTTGAGTATTTTTTTATATTGTCTATTTTTTGTAACTGTTTGTGATGGCACAATAATAAATGCTTAATTTGTTTTTCTAAACCATTTTTTTTATTATTTAAAAACAAAAGTTTATATCATCATTTTTGAGTTTTATGTAAAAAGTTATATTTTGCATTTCTAATAATTATTCCAATAGTTACAACTAGCTGTTGTAATCGTTATATTTTGACACCTCGAAGCGACGTCCTTTTTAAATTGCTAGAGGTCCTTCCTGTGTTTTGTTTGCCCATTTGTTCCAGGAGATTCATGTAAGTACCCCTATGTTTCATTTTTGTAGTTACCCCAATCCAACCCCCTTACCATTCACTTATCCACAACCCAGCTACTCCAAATAAACTCTGAGTGCCGTTCGAATAAGTATCGTTTATTTTGCTTGTCCTATCTGTCCTATTGACTAAACTAAGCAGAAACAGAAAATGAAATTTGAGCTATAAATGCTTTTGCAAACTAAAAATAACTAGAGAATTGACAACTTTTTTGACAAATAACCAGAGGCGGACGTTAGAATTTTTATTAGTTAAATTCCAAACTGAAATTTTAGTATTTATTTAATTTATTCGTCAAAATTACCTTAAATCTAAACAAAGTTAGTATGATTGAATAGGTATATTGCAATAATTGTAGTTTTGCATTTAATTAATAAATATTCTAACGTTCGCCTCTGGTCAATTGTCAAAAAAGTTGATGTTGAAAAATTGTAATACTCACTTTTTCTTCTTTTTCTAGAACGTCCAAGCGATTGTCAACTTTATCAACGATAGAATCCGGCCAAATTTTTCTTACTATGTACACCCCATAACGACCAATAGTAGTTATTCCAGGTACAACGCTATATTTGTAATCTAATTTAAAAGTTTTTGGATCCTCACCGATAGCAACCGTTTCCATCTGCCACCTAGACCAAACAATTGTTATTATAGATAAATGTTGATAGTTGAATTTTTAATAAGAAAATATTACTTAAAGTAATACCAAACGGAATAAATAACATTCATACGATACATAATATTCATACAATAATACAAAGAAACTTTGTATAATCTCTATATAACCGATCTTCCAATAGAGACTTCTGTACTTTGATAGTTGATAGCAACCATATTGTTAAAGCTATATCTGTCAAATTTACTGTCATTTATTTAGTCTGTTTTGCAAAATCACCATGGATGGTTATAGCGTTCGACAACATGTGCAAATGATAAAATTGTTCTATCAAAATGGGTTGCTTTAGCAACGTTCCGCGAGCTCCACCCATTTTACGGTCACCATATTCGTCATACCGAGAAGACTATTTACACTGTGGTTGATAAATTGGGGGACCACTGGTTCAGTAAACCATCAACCAATACGCCAATCCACACCCTAACCCTCTACGATAGACTCGAACTCAAATAACAGCATCTTACTTGAAAGTTCAGTTAATAAGAACTCTGAACTATGACACAGAGATTAAAACCTATTCGGTGCAACAAGACACTGCTTTTGCACACTTATAAAATTTTAATAATACTCTTACGATAGCATTGCTACGCCACTGACGATCCTAACAGCTATCTCGATTAGCTGACGTCACAAGCACTCTACAGTAAATTCAACTTCAAGTTACGGACAGAATCAACACAAGTCACCACGTGATATTCGAGTCTACACGTGACGAACGCCTTGCTATTGGCCAAATTGTCGAACGATCGTAAGTCGGGCAGTTAGCCCTAACAGGTGCGGACTTCGTTTTTCCGCTTCGTCCTCTGTCGAATGCGAAATGGCCCAGTAATTTTTGTGCAAAGCTGTTTGTTGGTTGGTTTATTTGTTAATCGTTAGCTCGTGTGTGGTAGTGCAAAGCATTTTTAAGAATATTTAATTATAGTCGATACAAACTTTTTCCCCACTTTAAAATAATTCCTATAAGTATAATAAAGCATTTATAATAGCCATAAGATAAGATATAATATCGACCTGCACTGATATGTTTAATGGATAAAAATTATTTAGTATGTTAAAAATTATGAAAAACAAGAGCCCGATATAATTTTGTCCTGACTATAATTAATTTAAACTCTTTGCGGCACGAGATTTTATAAATTTTCTACAATGGACTCTTGGGGCATAGAAAGATTCAATTGCACACGTAAAAAGTAAAATGACCTCACTTTTCAAGAAACAACTGGTAACCATTCGCGTTTGGCCAATATCTATACCGTGGAAATTTTACCAATTAAAGATAACACTTAATAGGGACAGAGGGAATAAGTAATACAAACCACTTGCGTAGGTGTAACTTGATAAAAATAGATTAATAAGTGATTCATTTTGTGGACTACTGAACAACATGTAGCAAAAATTTGGTGGTTCAAATTTCAATCCGATGTGCCGAAAAAGAGTTAAAAAATACCTTTTTTTATATATTTAAAAAAAATCAACCCGGGCAGATATTGTTTTAGATTTTTTGGATCATTCTAAACAAAAATTTATTTTGTAATTTTTCTTAAGTTGATCGTGTTCGAGTTATAAATAATTTAAAACTGGAAGACAAGGAAGAATTGACAGGCGAACAAGAATTGACAGACGAAAAAGAATTGACAGACGAAGAACGATAGATGACGATTTTCAAGGATCAAAATCATTAGTAAAAAATATCACATTTACCAAAGCGGTGTAGGTAAACCTTATATCGGATCCTCTACTATAAAAGTAAATTTGAAAATGCCCATTTTTTATTTTAGCTGAGAAAAGTATAATAAATCCATTTATTTAATATGTCTGATACGGAGTCGGCAAATAAAAATGAGGAACTGTTAACGCTAAGTCCTCCTAGGACAAGAGCTAAGAAAAATCACGTAGATATAAGAATAAAAAAAATGGTTAATACATACAAATGTGAATTACAAGATAATCCTACTTTAGCGTTCCAAACACTGGAAAAAAATGCTATAATTGTAATGGACAATACCCCTTACCATTCCAGAAAATTGGAAAAAATTCCCATTATGACTACAAAAAAGGCAGATATTCAAAATTGGCTTCGCTCAAAAGACATTCCTTTGAAGAAACGATGTTAAAGGTGCAACTTTTAGAAATCGTTAAACAACATAAAGGCGAATATAATGAGTACACAGTAGATGAACTGGTAAGAAGCACAAATAGAATAGTTTTAAGGTTGCCACCGTATCACTGCGAGTTCAATCCAATCGAGCTTGTATGGGCGGAAGTCAAGAATTATGTAGCATGGCATAACACAACATTTAAATTTGCTGACATTAAAAATTTATTTCATGAAGCTGTGTCTGCTGTAACCATGGAAAAATGGAAAAACTGCGTCAAACATGTAAAAGAAGAAGTGGAGCCAAAAATGTGGGAGTTGGACAATTTAATTGAGGCACAAATTGAGCCTATCATTATCAACTTTAATGATGACAGCAGTACATCAGATTCTGAAAGTTAAGATAAAATAAGGTAATTTTATAAAGTTTTTTTTGTATACTTTATTTTGTTGTTAATAACTCTCGACTTTGTAAATCATTTTTATATTTAAAAAATTGGTGTACTATAATCTGTACCTGTCAGACGTCTACAAATTATATAAGGTTTTGTATTGCAGCTTTAATTTACTAATCCGGCCCTGAACAAACGCGTGTTTCCAGCGTGCATTTGTTTCCATCGTCCGCAGCTTGAAGTTGAATTTACTATAGTAGCCTGTGGAGCAGTTCGAACTTTCGAAACGAGGCTCCACGCAGCCATCTAGGTTATTCAACAGGACTCTAGAAGCGGCTCGCAAACATAGGCATCGCAAATAAACGTATTATATTATAAAACAAATATTTCTTATAATTATTATCTGTAATCATTCATAAGAGGTTAAAATTAGCACTTAGCAGCTTCTAAATACTTTATAAAAAAAGAAAGTGTTTCATTAAAAAATCGAACGAAAAGATCAATTATTTTTACCGAAAACAGTATTTTTAATACATATATTTGTTGTAACTTACGTTTTAAGGTTAGGATACATCAAATGCAGTTTCGCCAACGTAGTAAAATGGGTAGTGATGTAAATATACGACGAAACACATGCCATATGTTCCAAAATAGCGATTGCCAACGATACTCCTTCTTCTAGTGCCGTAGATCGACATAATTCGTCAATTATAATAAGAGAATTATCAGTCATCGTCGACAATATGTATTTAATTTCTTTTATCTATAATATAATTAAAAAATTAATACATTAGACAACCATTAGCGTATATATTTGGTAAATGTTATCAGTTGAAGTATGCGAGATATAATTGGTACGCTGCTTCTTTTATTCTTTAGACAAAAGTCATCAGTCACATTTATAATCTGTCCGCTGATTCTTTAGATAAAAGTCATCATTCACATTTATAGTCCGTTCCCGAATTTTGTTCATAAGTATGCTGACAAACCCTAGCACGTCGTATAACTTGAAGTTGCACCCAAGCAGAACTTCAGTCTGAGACTCATTCTTAACTCCACAGAACTAGAAGACATTTAATTTTTTTATAACTTCATCAACGTATTTTTCTTTTGTGTACCAAAGATTACCTCCTTTTCAATTACAGCCTTTTGATGAGTTTTTATCTTGAATAATGTTAACATTTCTCTGTTTTTCCTTAATTTTCTCAAGACTTCATCATTTACGACGTAATTCATTCAGGATATTCTAAGCATACGTTAATATGTATACATTTCAAAGACCTCAAGACCTTCAAGGTCCAAGTCTCTACTCCATACAAGGCAGAGTACACATAACATTCGAAAAATCTGGAGAAGTTAGCCTGGAGAGGAAATTCCCAGATACTTGAACCATGTTTATGTTAAGTTCACCACTTATTTGATAAAATTTATTAAATTATCCCACCGATTTCTGTTATAACTAACGCGCTCTAACAAATCCCATTAACGAAACTCTTTTTTAACAAGATATACTTAAATATTGATGAATGCGCCCATATTTATATCTAATTTTATAAAAAAATAAACACCTACCTCTAAAACAAAAGAAGAAGCACTATACTCCATATTATCTCCCAAATAAATTCTAGCAAACATTTTGTTCACCGGTTTAAATATGGCTGACTCTGCAGGTACATAACACCCCAATTGTGCCATAATTTGAAGCAGCATCACTTGTCTAATAAAAACGCTTTTTCCTGATCCGTTCGGACCCGTGATGACGTGAACGTTATATTCATCCGAACAAAACTACAAAGAATTGTATATCATAAAAAGCTAAATTTTGTGCTCAACGGTTTTTTGTGGCATATTATTTAAGTGGAGTGGGACAAATTGAGTGGAGTTTCAGTCTAAAATTAGTTTATTTTGACGTTTCAAACCCCACATCAAAAAATACGTCAAATAAATGCATTTTAAACTGAAATTGCACTTAATTTTAAAAAAGTAGATAAGCTAAATTTTATTTATTTATTTATTGTATTCAAACTCGTTAAGAAAAAACAAGAAGTAGCACTCCCGGAGTGACCGAGGAGGATAAGCACAGTTTTCTTATCATCTGCGAACGGAGCGATGGTTTTTAATGTAATTCATTTGCTTTTAATTAAATTCAATTCAATTCCAGTCGATTCAATTCGATTTCAAATTAAATCGATTCGAATCGATTCAATCCCAATCGACTAGATTCGATTAGACTGCAATCGATTCGATTCCAATAGATTTAATTCGATTCGACTCCAATCAATTCTATTCGAATCTAGATTCGATTACAATCAATTCAATTCCAATCGTTTCGATTCAATTCCAATCGATTCGATTCGATTCCAACACATTCAATTTTGTTCGATTCAAATCGATTCAATTGGAAGATCGTTTTCAGAGGACCTATTGAATAAGCCTTCTGAAGGAATATCGCCTTTTATCAGCTTTTAATAGCGTCTGTTATTATATTACCCTCACCTCGATTCGCCCATTTGAGGACATTGTATATCGAATAACCAATCAGAAGCTAGGGTAAAATTAAGCGGCCACTCAGGAACCTCGGTTACAGTAGACTTTTGTCACAACTTAAAATAAATTTAAGGAGTCAGTCAAAAATATCAATCTGAACGGTTAAATAAATAAATGTTATAAATTAATCGTGTTTTAGTGTTATAAGACTTTAAATAAATTAAAATAAACATTACAATATTTTACAAATAGTGCACATGGCACAACCCCACCTTGCCAGGAAACTGTTATAGGTCAAATGAGAGAATGGTAGTATGTATTTAGACACGAGCAGCGCTACTAATCTCGGTATAGAACTTTGATCATTTGAATTTACCGCCAAATATTTTTAGTTAAGTCCATAGAGAGTTGAGTCTCTAAACACTACAAAACTCGTGTCTCTAATCATTAACACATTCACTGCCCATGCGAAAAATATGTGTCACAGTGGGTGCTACGTGAATTCTTCTTATACTAGGCATAATATGAGTAAATTGTGATTTAAATTAATGTAACTGAACATTTCGATACAAATATATGTAAAAAATATAAAAGTAATAAAATAGTAAATAAATAAAAAATATTGTAAGAAAATTGGTCTTTATTTATTGTATAAAACATTAAAATATAAATTTACATAAAAGCAAAAACAAATAAAAGTTCAGAACAAAATAATTTGACCTTAAGATAAACAATAAAATACATCATTTGTTTGCATAGAATATTCTAAAGCATGGTGTGAGACAAAGTCCAGGGCCATCTGAGCATTGAGGGCAATGGTAAACTGAATCCTTTCGTTTTTTGTCATCACTCTAGCAAACAGTGCATCTTCCTCTTTTAGCCTTTTCGTTGTCTCCTTTTGAGCAGTACTCTGGAAGGTGCTGAAATTTTACCTTAGTGTCTTTCCAACGACTAATTCTTGATTGAATACCGCTTCTCGAAAGTAATTCCACTGCATGTGCATTTGCTTTAGTACAAAGAATGTCACACAGTTCTTCCGTTACCAATAAGTTAAAATAATCTATTGGCTCTGTCCCTCGTACGTTGACACGAATACCTGCAACACCTGTAAATGCGATAGATGGCTTTTGTACCTTACGATATTATTGGAATTGTGTACTTGGCAACACTGGTTCACAATGTCTTTAGTGATTCCGGTTGTCAACTGTCAATTGTAATTATATATTTCTAGAATGTAGCACATGTTTAGTTTTTAGTACTTTTGTAGAATAAAGTAATCAAATAATTCACTGCTATATATGTATTACCATCACTGGGAAACAACAATTTCTAATAGGTATGACCATTGTGAAGTTGTAGTTGGTGCAACCTAATTTGTAACAATTGGGTTAGTCAAGGAAGAAGTTGTAGTTACAAATATAAGCTGGATTATCATATATAATAGTTACGTTTTAAAAATGTCAAAACACAAATATTTATGTAACTGGACAAGTGCACATGAGAACTCAGAACCAACCACTATACGGTTACTAAATTCAGTACTATTAGATGGGCATTGGGGAACCGATTATTCGATCAAATCAAACGATGTTTCTCTTTTCAATACAATGTTAAATTCAAACAACGATGAAACCTCTTTTAACGTTAACGAAAGTAACGTTTACCGCTCGAGGTGCGTTGTGGGCAGTGAATGTGTTAACACGGGAGTTTCCTTGCTATTTGGTAGTCTGATGTGATGATACATTTACAATGTATCTTTTCAACGACTATAAATTAGTCCGCTAGATGCAAAACTTTGTATTTACTGTATAAGTCAAACTGAGTTATTTGCAAAAAACAGACATAATAAATGGCACTTTTTTGTGATAGATAAATGCTTTATTAGGTAAAATATAATGATTTTTTTCTTAGAAAAGTTATTGGGTTTGCTAGAAAAGGAAGAAAAAATTGAAAATACCGAGTTTTGCAAGTGAACTATGTAAATACAGATTTATGCAACTAACATTTGCAAATACATGATAATAGTCAACCATTAACGATATTAGTGGTTGTTATATTAGTCTGTTTTCTAAACCTAGCGTGTTAGGAATAAGGAAGAAAGCATGTGGAAGTAAACTTTTAGTGAAGTTTATTTTTATCCAAAGTACAAAAGGTATTACAAATTATAATATGTATATATTTATATTAATTCCTAAACTTTAAGTTCCTCTGGGTCCTCATCATCAATATGATCATTTTCTGCAGCACTCTCGTTATTATTTGCTTGTACGCCAGTATCTATAATTTTATAAAATTTGAGATCCGGCTGGTCTCTCCAATTTTCACCAAAATGGTTTCTAAGGAGAGTGCCTATGGACGATTATTCTCCTTTCAATGAACATCCAATCTGTTGTAACTTTGGTTTCAATAAAGAAATCTTTTTCCCTTTTCGTATTATAAACTTGCTGAACCCTATGTCAGAACGATAAAATATTTCCCCCCTTACTGTAGCCATATAATCTTTGTCCTTAGAAAATATAAATCGTTTCGTTGCATTACATGTAAAATGCCACTGGGAAGGTTTTTTAACAACAACGTTACTCGTCTTTCTCCAGTCTGATATCTGCCAGTCTTTACCAAGTCTCAGCACATTTGATGAGTGTTTTCCAATTATGTCTTCATATTCTTTTCTGTTTATTACAACGTTCTTCTTTTTTATCTCCCTTTCTATTATACCGAAAATCCTATCTGGTGGCAAAAAGGAATGACCAACAACAGGAAACGTGAACTCCACTTCCTTGATGTGACCAGGTGCTTCATAAACCAACCAGTAGATTATCATAGACATCATCGTGCTATTTTTGTTCTGTCCACCACATCCATCTGCAAATAGGTGAACTTTTTCGATTTGATTTTTAAAGTTGAATTTTATGAGAGTATCATGTACAGCAGAGGCAACAGCATTTGAATCTTTTGGATGTTCAAACTCCAGCCACACATATGACGTCACATTTGCAGAAGAAAGATGGGATTTCGAATTTCCAGCCACGATGGTGAAATTATAAAAGTTTATTTGCTGTGAGAAATAAGCCGCCTGGTCGGGAAGCTTTGGCAAAGAAAGATTTTTTTGACAATCAAAAGAAAATATTTGTATGTTATGATTTGATTCATTTTTTAACAAAGAATAAAAGGCTTTAGCTCTTAACGTATGAACTCTCTGTTCTGTTATAACCTTTAACTTTTCTTCTTCTGAATTTTCTTTTCTCAAACTTTCCTTCTCTCTGAGACACGCAGAACAAGCATCTACTAAGGGAGTGCCGAATGATATGTGGTAGTGTTCATTAACGTATGTTCGGAAATATGATAACTTTACGGAATGATGTGGTTGACGTTGACAATACATTCTGTAAAGCTTTGTAAAATTCAGATCACATGGTAAATACAATCTAGTCGATCGTCCTCTATTATAATGACTCTCTGCACCGTTCAAACGCCCCATAAATGTTTGGATAGATAATTTTATTGGATCAAATCTACCTTTTGTTGTATCTCCCCCTCTTCTCTCTTTTGGTATTTCACCCCGGATAACAAACGTTCTTACAACACGCTCTATTCTTTCAGAACTTAAATGAATTATTCCAAGAAATGCTGTCTTGCATACTCTTAAAAGTCCACCCACTACTGTAGGAACAAAATATTTAATTGAAATTCCATGTAGGTTTGTACCTGATCTCTTGGGCTTTTGACCTTCACAAAATTTCAGCAAAATAATATCTTGTTTTATTTTGTCAGTTGTTGAATACAGATTATTATGAAAACGCTGAATGTCTTTAAATCTATACAACAATACACTTTCTTTGTATGGTTACAGGTGGGAAAACCGGGTAAATCCCCAAACCTATCTAGTTAATTGTAGACACTTCTTACCTCTTAAGTTTCATTACATTTCGTTTCCATTTTTCTGTTTGTACAACTCGTTTTCTCCCTTTTCCTTTTTCACAAGGTCTAATATGCACATGAAGATCCATGTTAATTATTTGCAATAAACTTGGTGTTTTAGTACTCAAATAACAAACAGTGAAACCGGTAATGGCGAATGATGGAATAATTGACATGTGCACATGAGACGTGTCATGTGACTCAAACAATGTAAGCGATTGGCCAATTGCAATTACACAGTTATGCAACTGGCATAGGCTGACAAATACAGAGTTTTGCGTCTGACTCAAGATTTCTAATGCCTTTTTCTTAGTAAATACCTTACTTTGCTGCTGAATTTCTACATCAGCAGATAGCTATAACATGTGACAAATAACTGTCAGCTAAAACTCAATTTTTAAAATTTTTGCAAATACAGAGTTTTGCATCTAGCGGACTCAAATACTAGATTAACGCAACTCTAGGTGCACTGTTTAATTAGAAAAGTCAATTTTATTATAACTTACCACTGAATTTGCCGTCGGTTTAGAAGGTAACAAGAAATTTAACAGAGGGTGTTGTCCCAATTTTATCTCAGTATACTCTCCGAATCTAGGACGAATATAATGATTTTCCAAACTCGTTTGGGCTAGCGATTGATAAACGTCCAGCTGAGCAATTTCTTCGCAAAATGTATGGAAGACATAAATGTGATCTTTAATATTTAGCACCATATTATACACTATTCTGAAAATGATAAAGATATAATTTCGTCAATTTTTCATTGTTTTGTTTTATTTGTTGGACCAAAAAGGAATATTGATTCGATGAATGTTTTAATAAAACTAAAATAAACTTACACGTTGCTCATCTTTAATATGTCTTCCATGATATCATCTACGCGTGTAGAAATATTAACCAACTCTGGCGTTTTCATGGTAAAATAATTTGACGATCGATTGATCTAAAATAATTATTAATTTATTATTACAAGACTTAGTTATTACAAGTAGTTTAAAAAATGTGTCCATAATTATAGAAAAGCCTAAAAAAGATTAATTAATGAAAAAAATATTAAGAACTTTGTGAAAAAAATTAAATCCAAATATTGCACTGTGTTTGACGATATCCACTGTAATTCAACCAACATGACAAAGTTGTTTATGATATATGTGTGAAGAATACAGCATTTGTTTTCCTTTAAAGAACGTGAATAGCAGAAAATGTGCTATTCATTGGTTTAATCACAAATTCTTCGAAATTTAGGAACACAACTCTACGATTGTAAAGCAACTATAGGAAAGCAGATACTACTAATTGGAATAAATATTGTCAAATGCGAAAGAAATACAAGCCAGCAATAAAAGCTGAAAAACGTACTGCTTCTGCTAACATAATGAACAAATCCACTAACAAAAGTAAGACAATATGGAGTATTGGTAAAAAATAAACTTATAAAGAAAATAATACGTCCAATCTGAACTCAACACCAGAAGAGATTAACCAATACTTTAGGAATATAGCAGATATATTGAATTCAATAGGAAACTCTGAGCACGATATAAATTACTATCTTAGCGGTCTACCTAGAAGGTCGAGTTCGTTCTTTATGGCGTCAATAGTAGCATCTGATGTTAAAGAATGCAAAAACAAATTAAAAAATTGCTGATTTGTTAACTACTACGGTTTTAACAGTAAAATTGTTAAGTCATCGCCAGATATAAGTATTGAACCACTCACAGTAATATTTAACAAATATATTAACGAGGGTTACTGGCCTGATGTATTCAAAATATCAAAAGTAGTTCCATTTTGTAACGAATACATTTTGCCTACCACATGGGGTATTAGGGGAGACCGGGGCTAGTTGACTAAAGGGGTTAGTTGACTAATTGCCTCTAGTTTCTTTAATGTTTAACATATGTCGCCTGTAGACACGATATCTGAACTGATTACTCTTGCACCTCCATTTTACAATATCGTTGTTATAGTCGCTAGTGTTTTGTGTCGGTGAGAACGAGAAATCTAGAATCATCCTTGGTAAGTAATTACTTTGGTTCTCAACATTTTCGTATTGTTATCTATAAAATAGTTCATCACTAATTCCACTGAACATTTTTGAGAAGTAACATACATTGACCATAATTTCACGTGACTTATTTGTATCTATGTTAACGCATGTCTATCATACGGCCCTCGGAAAGACAGGGTGACATATGGGGTTTGTCGACTAAGCCGTGTCAGACTCTTTTGACTTAGTCGACAAACCCCATTATGTACGCAAATTTCAGAATTTGTTCATTAAGTTGTCAATGGATAAGTTGATAATGATATTCAGGCATTTTGAAACTATTTGCAGCTGTTATATTGCGTATATTTCTCCAAATTTCTTAACAATCAGCAATCCATCAGGATAGATGACAGATCAACATTTTGTCTAATTTGTCAAGCATTTTGTGTTTCACATAAGATGATCTATTTGTTAAAGATGATCTTAACCTTTTTTTTCAAAATTAATAAATATCAAAAATAATAAAGCGAGCCGTCTTATGTTAACATTAAATTTTAAAACAACAAATAAAATGACAGCTAACCATGCCCTAAGATTTACAATGTTAAATATTACAATTTTTAACTTTTAATGAAAGCAATTATTAGTTTAGAAAAAAATGTCTGTCTTTACTTTAAAATTTGATCACAAAACAGTTACCTGGATTTAACTGTATAACTTATTTCTGGAACTATAACTGGAACAACTGAAATTGCTGGGGGTAGAACTGGGCTTCACTCTCTGTGTAACGAAAACTTAACCAAATTTATCTCCATACTGCCAAAAAGCCAGGGATGACAACCAGGGAGAAACAAAACGATTATGGAAACGACGATTCTTCCAATCCTCACTTAAAACTTTAAATGAACCAATAACTGCCACAATACACTACATATTTTTCATGAAACGAGACGAACAACGAGGAACATTTCAAATTTGACGCAAAATTTGGATCCACACTTAAGCCGACTGCCTCTAACAGCGACCCAAGTGAGAATGTCAACTATCTTGCCGGCAAAACTTGGCAAAAACAAAACACTTACAATGAGAACGAAAACGCAAAATATCCTATTTCTTCGACGTACAAAAATTCCAAGTCGGCTTCGATTAAAGAAATATCGACAAAATACGAATCTCTGGAATTAATAAACAAACTATAAAATAAAACTATAAAATTTTGGGTATTTTAATTTTTACGATAGGAAACTGAAATATACTGAAATTATTCTTCGTTATTTTAATTCATATATGAAGAGATTTCATTTTAATACATATACGAGGGGATTTCAATTTATATATCAAGGAATTTATATACCTAAGAATTTGCAAATGCTACAACTTAAGAAAATAAAGATGCTCCAGACAATTACAGACCTATTACCATAGTATCAATAATAAGTAAAATTTTTGAAATCTTAAATTAAAGATCGTATAATAAATTATTTGGGTAACAAATCAGTTATATCTAGCTCTCAATTTGGTTTAAGGAGAAAAACACTCAACAACTAAACCTTTATTAGAAGTAATAGAACATATTGATTACTGTCTTGATGCAGGTGAACCTACTAATGGAAGGAAAAAGGATGGAGAAAATGCCCGTCTGGTTGTGATGCCGTAATAGGAACGATGAGGGTCTTCTAGGCGCTACCTGGAACGAGACAGGAGGCTTCCTTGCTGATAAATGGAGTGTGGATGTGGATAAATGGAGAATGAATGAATGAAGGTAGTTCTTCGGAAGTGATGCCGGCCTTACAGCGGCCATTCCGCTTCCGGATCGCTGGGTAAATCAGAACTATGTCAATCAGTAATGTAGATTCCTTCATCGTAATTTGTGAAGTCAACATATATCGCTCTCAATCATACCTAAAATGCACATCTCTCTCTCTAACACATTGATTTTCCTATATCTAGAGTGATGTCCTCATTATATATCTACTATAAAAAATGACAGAGAATTGATAAGACATATATAGAAAGGTGACTTATACGCTAGAGACATGATCTGAAACGAGTGACAATATACTGAAAATCTCACAGCCCCCAATTGAAGAAAGTTGTTATTTTTAATGGAAAACTACGTTCAGCATGGAATATGGCAAGTTGAATGATGACATAAACATTTGTTTTTGCAACGAAATCAAAACGCTCCTCCTTATAAACTCTTAAATGTTTATATACCCAATTTTTTTACAATAAACAAAATGCAGAGACAAATAATATAAATAATGCCAAAAAAATATCTTTGGTCTTTGTGTGAGACGAAAACGTACACCACCACCAATTTAATTTACATACTAATATATGATAAAATAACTCTTACTTCTATAAATTCGTTAGGAAGATCACTATTCTTCAGATCTTTTCTTTTGGATTTATTCAAATTTAACACTATGTGATAACCTTTTTTCTGGTTGTTACCGAGAGTTAGTGGAAGATTATATTTGTCTGATAATTCTTCCACGTAATCTGAAAAGAAAACATTACATTTTAAGACAAAATAATATGCAGCAGGAAGCGTTGTTCTGTTCCCAGTGGCGGATCTAGACAGTGTGGGAAGGGAACTTACAACTTAGGCAGGGACTTTCAAAAAACACCAACCAAGAGACATAAAAAAGATAAACCCAAATTACATAAAAGACATAAACAATAGGTTTTCTTTAATTTTGGACCTTCTTGTGAGAGTGGATCCCTATTACTTCGTGTATTCGTCCCTGTCTGTTCCCATGTGTGTTTAATGTCTGACGAGATATAATGTATTGTTACAATAATAAATACTATGGCGTATAAAAACTGTAAATATATTTAGTCATTCACGAATGTTCTAGGTCAAATACTACCGAATTCTACAAAAAGGTCGAATAACCAGTCCAGGTACTAAGAATGCCGTCGGCGACGACCCTCTGAATTTACCAGAATGCGATCGACTTCTCTAGTGTAGCTGAATGAGTCACCTTCTAATGGGTGGAAGGTCATCGACTTATATCCAGATCTTTCTGGTCTGGCGGTATTATATATAAGTAACATGGATTTTATTGGAAAAGTCAGTCAACAAGAAGTCCGGTCTCACGGTTAAAATTGTATCGCACGTAAATAAATTATTTGTAATTATTAAGTGTAAAATAAATTAGTAGTAATAAAGACTTTGATAAATTCGGGAGTGTTATAAATATTGAACCTTTAGTAAATGAAATTAAGAACAACAAATTAGAATTAATAAAGACCTAACAGTATATTTTAAGCTAGCACCATTGTCTTCCACATGGGAAAATAGGTATAGGATACGTTTAGGCAAACGACTATGTTCATTCAACGATGCTGCTAAAACACCTGACCATGAAGCAGTTGCGAAGCAGTCAAAGAAACGATAAAAAGATTTCAGTAGTTTCAAAAAGTTTCTGAAGAGACCGTCAAGAGTTTCGACAAGGTTTTCCAAAAATTAAAAGAACTTGAAAATCTACGAAAAAATGTAGTCACTTCAGAAGATAAAATCAAACAATTTGAAATAATGATAACTAATGGTTCCAACGAAAGATCTATTACAAAGTGAGGTATAAAGAGACGAAGTAGATTTAAGTACGACAGTGAAGGAAGAATGGGGTAAAGGAGAATCAATATATCACATGATATTAATTTACCGTGTGTTGCTTTAATCTTAAGAGATCCTACTCTCAGAAGACAGTGACTTGTTAATTCTTCCTTCAAGGATTGTGCAGAGTTGGAAACAGTTGTCATTTTCGTCAGCATCGTTTAAAGTGTTCTAGAATTCATTACAGGAGTGAGTTTTGTTACAATACTTAATAATTCTATTTTTTGATTGTTAGTCACTCCCTCACAAAGGGCACTTCGCTCTTTTTATCGAAAGTTCGGAGAAATAAATCTTCTCTAGTCGGAATTCACGGGCATAAGCATACGTTCTTTAACAAAGTAGTGTCTAAATTAAATATAGACGAAATTTTGGATAACCGAAAATAGTTTGTCCTTGACAACCGAGTATTGTGGTGGCGAAGAATCCAGGTCAATTTACAAGATAGTAGATTTATTGGGAATATATTGTAACGATGAGTCCAAGCCATCGGTATCGGTCGGTAGTTCGGTATGTCTTCGGTCTGGTTGTCGACCGCGGTATCGGTCGTTAGTCGGTATATTTTCGGTCTGGTCTTCGACCGCGGTATCGGTCGGTAGTCGGTAGGTCGTTTTGTTATATATCTTGCTTCTCTGTTGGAGCGGATATCTTGCGGTTGGTGTTTCGTTGACCCTGGAATTGGTCGGTATTCGGTTATTGTCTGCCTTGTACGATCTGGATCTGTGTTCTGTCCTGGTTTGGTATTGTTCTCTCCTTCTTACGCGATTTCTATTTAAGATGTTTGATAAATCAAGGCCCCATCTTGTTATTTCATGCATTCCCAGTACTACTTCTGAAGCTAGGTTTGGTAAAAAATGTAGCTTGGCTTTTCTCCAAACGTTGTCTATGGAACATTTTGCTGTAAAACAGATTTCTATGTTGCTGGTTTTTCCATCTGCCAGCGTGATCTTTAAAGCTTTTCTGTCGCTTTTTGTTCCACATTGTTCCAATATTTTTTTTTCCTTTTTGTCCTATAAACGAATTTTGGGCTCCTGTGTCTATTAGTGCTTTTAACTTTTTACCGTTGCTGAACGTTATTGTTGTGTGGGGTCGTTGATCTGTATAGTGTGCGTAGCTGGAGGTTGTTAGGGAGGACTCTAAATGCTGACTGGGTTGCCTCCTTCTTGTCCAGTCCTGTTGGAGTTTTCCGGTCGGCTTCTACATTGGCAGTTATTGGAAGTTGTTCCTCGGGTTCCGCAGTGGCTGCAGAAGAGTACAGCGATAGCTCTGCAGTTTCTTCTATTGTGGCCTCTGCGGCCGCATTTCCAACAACAAGTCTGTCTGTCGAAATTCTGTATTTTGTTATTACGACTATTTGCCTGTGTCCAGTCACACCTTGTATTGTTTCTGTTATATATTTCTTTTTGGACCATATCATATTCTTCCGCTAGTCTGATGATGTCCTGTGTTGACGATACGTCTTGCCTCTTTATATACAATTTGTATTTCGGGTTCATATTGGTGTATATCCTGTTTAGTTCTTCTTGGTGATTGAATTCACCATGTCTTCTGATCATTGTTTGAATATCAATGATGTAGTCTTTTACATCTTCGTTGTTTCGTTGGAGTCGGTTCCGGATTTGAGCTTCCAGAGATTGTGTGAGAACGGAGGAAACGAAGAAATTGCGGAAACCTTGTTCGAAGTCTTTTAATTCGTTCCAATATTTATTATTGTTTCTGTACCATAGTAATGCTTTCCCGTTTAATGTTTCTGGTAGAGCTTGTAAAACGTGGGTGTCTTGTAGGCCGTAAGCTGTCTGGAGTTCTTTCAACCGTTCTATGAATTCTATTGGGTCTCTTGAACCGTCAAAGTGTAACCCCCATTTGCGTACTATTTCCATCTTTCTTTGTCTGTCTTCCATCTGGTTTTCTTCTATTTCCTCTGGGTTTTGGCCTTTTTGAGTTGGTGCCTTGATGATCGCAACTAATCTCGCTCTTAGCTCGCTGAAATTCCCTTCCGTCGACTGTTCTCTGTTTGTTAATTCGGCTATAAGTTCGTCTTTCTTTAATAGGTACACCCAACTAACCTTCGACGTTTCCGGAGCGTCTGTCATTTTTGAACTGTGAATCACCCTGTATTTGAACAAAATTTGAGATGTAGTACTGTCTCATGAAAATAAAATTCGGGATTCGGTCGGCATTATTGTTTAAAACGAATTTTTCTGCTCGGGCGCCATTTGTGACGTCCTCTCGTAGGAGTCACTATCCGGGTAGCTTTTGGACAGTCAGAGACAGAGTTCAAAATAAAAATAAAACTTTATTGTCTTCCTTAAATTAAATTGACAAAAATCTTATGTACATATTTACAATTTAGTTTAGTCTTCTCAGTACCTGGCCTATTTATTCAAATTAAGTTTGACCTTGTCGTATGAAGTTTTATCGGCAATCGAGTGTCTTTTCGGAATTTTACGTGAACGATGTGTCGATTTAATAACAGCGGACGATAGGTACAAAGAAAAGAAAGGAACTCAAAACGTCCCTTAAGTGATTCGGGTTAATAGGACACTCCTCGACAGTCTCAACACGACTGCTTCGGAGTACGGGTAATGGAGAGCTCAACACGCTCTCCGGATAACGGCGGTATGGAACAACTTGTGAACTCAACACGTCCACAAGCCGGGGTAGGGAAGAGAGAACCTTCAGTCAACACCTGACGATTCTGCTCTATGAGGAAATAATGCGGTTTATATAGCAAAGTTTTGCCCTTTCTACTGTCGATACACTCCTACTTCATGGGCTGGTTCGCGCGCACGCTGGTTTAACGGTGATGGCTTGGACTCATCGTTACAATATGTAAATAATAGAAATATCTGGCGTGAATGAAATGAAATGAGAGAAATATTATAATTTCATGAAAAAATTCACTTACAGAAGGGCTCGGTAGTACTATCGCAAGTAGAAATCATAGTGAACGCGAAACTGTATCTCTGACAGTCTCGAATACTTATTAGCTACTGGTTCATTCGGTGAGTCTTTAATGCCTGGTTGCACCAACAGATCTTAAGCTCCAGCTTAGCCCAGCTCTGCTTATAGCTAGGGCTGCCTTAACTCTCACTTACGTTGCACCATAATTTTCGATCCTAAAATATTCTTTATATTCTTAAAAATAAAAATACAAAATTTGGTTGATCGCCGTCGGACGGTTGGTCGTGGTCGGTCGATCAGTCTGAGCTGAGGCCTACCTAAAGCACGTCTTAAGCTTAAGATATGTTGGTGCAACTAGGCATAAGTCTTTAACAGCTTAAGCAACAGAAGTTTTTGAAGCAGGTGGTTCGTGATCGACATCCTCCTCACAAGATCGAATCACAAGTTCGGAAGGGTTCGATGCCGTCGGCATTACTCGAAAGTTTCTCACCAGTAATTTTGAGATGTCTAAGTCCATGACACATTGATTCTGTCTCCGGCTTCTGTACGCAATGTAGCTTCGCCAATTTTCAAAACTTTTAAAGTGTTTGTTTGTCCTTGTGTAGTGTAGTGTGTTGTACCATTATATGTTTATGACATTTTTATTCTTGTCGGATAGGCCGCAATTGACGAAATGCCCCTGAATATGATCTAGGGATCGAAAGTATTTGGGCAAGATTAAATTAACTGTGCTCGATATTTGCCTTTTATTTGATCAAAGTTCATTTATTCGAGCATTCAACCTTATATCAATAAATAAGATCATACTTTATTAGAATGATAAAAGTATTAGAAGCAAGATATACAGATAAATACTAAATACTTTTCCAAACAAACTATTTCTCTAATACTATAATTTTTTTATACTCTTACCTTTCATATCGTTGAGTCTTTCCGTGAAGACTTTCCTCACGACGTCCAACAACTCGTTAACTCCAGGTTTGATAGCGAAACACCTCTGCTGCAGCATCGTTTGACTTTTCGTGGGTTGGACATAATCATTCACTACCTCTTGCACCATCGTTTTGATTTCCTTGAAAGCAGAATCGTCCAGTGTTCGCTTAAGCCTTACAAAGAACGACTGTTTTAAGTCTGATAGTAATTCTTTCAGGGGATTTATTAGATCTATTATACTGTTAAGATTGATGATGTAGTTTAGTTGACGAACGGAACATTTTTGGGGATCATCTGGAATTAATGTCCCTACGTTCAGTAGTGCATCGACGTTTGATAACTTTTGCAGCATAATCTAAAAAAATTAATACATGGTCGAGGATAGATCAATATACGACTATTGGGCGATAAAATAAGCTGTGGAAACATCTTTACAAACGATAAAAATATTCTTGTGTACTTCAATGTCCAAATCTAACGTTGTTGAAGTGTTCTAGCTTCCTCATTACCGTTTAAGCAGAAATATGGTGGGGTTTCCTTTAAAAAGTTTACAGCTAAACACAAGACCTATATAATTTTAACGAACGTTTATTTATGTATATTATTTGTTCTTGAAATCTAAAATACAAACTAATTGTCTAATAACAAAAACCAGCTTTACATACATTAATTTTTGTGATGTAGGTGGTGGCCTAAAATGTTCGGGATATTCCTATAATTGGGTATCAAAATTGTAGACACTAAATTCTGAGAAATTCATGAGAAATTCAGCCTGAGAAATTTGATACATATACAGTCAAATGGTCGTAGAATAAGGGACTAAAGTATCTAATAAGACATGACTAGGCTAGCCAGTAGAACAGAACAGTAGATAATCAAGATTAGAGAATCAAGTTAGAGAGATATATTTCAATCAGTCTGGACGTTCACTACACACACAGTAGCGTATCGTTTACGTGGTAAAGTGAATTTTAAAAATGTTTATGTAGGGTAAATACACCAGTTGTTGGCCATAAGTGAGTTATTGGCCCCTAATATGTTTTGATTAAAATTAAGAAAATGTTGGTATTTTGTTAAATCTGACTACTTTTTTTTAAGTTTGGCATCATGTTTGCTAGAGTATGATACATCTAGTTTCAAGGTAACCACCAAGTTTTAGTTAGTATACGACGTTGATTTAGACACCATTCTGTGCCATAGTTTGCAAGAGAATTGTTGTTATTTATCTAGAGAAACTTGTGTTAGCCGATAAGTAACTACTAGATACTGAAATTTTCTTTCTACTTTATGTTTTTTATGTTATTGTGAGAATATAGTGTATGTTCTGTCCGAAATTGCATAACAAATCTAACGCTATTTATTCAAATAACGTAAATTTTAAGGTGGCCAACTACTAATGCATGAAATTATCAATATATTAATTATTGACCGTCTAGGCCAATAATTGAGACATTAATTTTTTGTAAGAATCTAGTGATTGACATATGGTAATGACCAGTGTTTTATGTGTGGCCAATAACTAATTATTATATATTTTTTAGCAACTATACCAAAACGATCTAAAGAGGAAAACCCTTTAAAATAGGTATAAAAAAGGTATTCCAAAAACGATGTTCAAAAAGAGATGGAGTTAATTCAAAATGGTAGGGGTAAGTGGGAGGCTTCAAGAATTTTCAATATTCCCAGAGCCACCATAAGTTACTGTAAAAGTGAAAAATTTCACGGGATAACGCATGGACCAGATCCATTTCTTTCGAAGAATAAAGAGGAACAACGTAAACTATGGATTTTTCATTGTCAAATAGGGAATTTCCTGTTGGTGTTGACGACATTAAGGACTCCGTTAAAACATTTTTAGAGAGTAACCCTAGAGGAAATGCATTTGTTGAAAATAGACCAGGTAGAACATGACTATCTGAATTTTTTAAGCGCAGTTCCAAGATTTTCCAGATTTTCCAGAGGACTTCAGAGGGACCGACATCAGCAAGTTATAACATTAACCAATGAGACATTACCAAATGGTTTGACAACATAAAATCTTATCTAGATAAAAAAGGAATTGAAGATGTTCTTCAAGACCCAACAAGGATCTTTAAATGTGACGAGACATGCTTTTATTAAAGTCCCAAAAATAAAAAGATTTTGGCTATGAAGAGTTCCAGAAATGTCTATGAAATTGAATATAACCCAAAGGTTAACTTAACAGTTATGTGCACATTTTCTGCAATAGGAAATATTTTACCTCCGATGATAATTTATGCCCGTAAGAGATTGCCTAATGATATATTAAGTGCTGTACCGAATTCGTGTTGTATTGGTTTAACAGAAAATGGTTTTTTTTTTCGTGGAATTTATGGCTTTGGCGAGAACCAATTAGTCAGACTATGTTAGATTGAATCATTAATTTGTGTAAAATGTTTCATAGTATCAAACCTAAGCATGATATATTCATTTGTTTTGTTAGTAATATACAGATTGAACGAAATAAATTCGGAACATACGAAATATTATGTATTTCGGCTCAATTCTGCTGTAGGTGGTTGACCAACAAAAGGTTGTCAAATAATTATATTATAAAAATCCAATACTTCAGCGGGCTGCTGGATTCTGAAATCATAAAAATTGAAAGGTACACATAAATCTACGATTTTATTATGCTGTGTCAAACCACTTATAGCCCAGGAAATGAAGCATTTCACCCCGCAATTTTTTCGACCTGCGTGGATTGACTTGAAATTGTAACAGAAGGTAGGTAATAGCCAAGGATCAAAATCTATATCGAACCAAAGTGCGCCAAAGCCTTGCGGGTGGTTGCCACCCCATCTCGGGGGTGAAATTTTTTTTTACGTTTTAACTACAGGTTTCGATTAAAAAAGTGATTCTAAAAAAAATGTTTTTAACATTTTTTTTTGTAAAACTGATATTTTTTAAGTTATTCGCGATTTAAAGCAACAACTTTTAGAAGAAAAAAATCGACGTTTTTAATCGATTTTTCGCAAATAACTCAAAAATGGTGCATTTTATCAAAAAAATTGTGGAGAACAAATTTGTAGCTTTTAAAAAGACAAATACAATTCATTTTTTAAAATGTTTTTGCGATATAACAGGAACCGAAATACGGCCTATCGATGTTGAGCGGTTTTCTTCAAATGCCAAATTTGAAAGATTCAAAGTCAAATATCGGGAAAATGATGCATTTTTGGAAGAAAACTCACAGAACCTTTTTTAAATAGTATAAATATACCTATCATAAAAAAGACTCTAGCTTAAAAATTGAGTGAGTTATGATGAAAATAAGGTCAATACCTCATTTTTTTACGAAAAAATCGATGAAAACAACCCTCTAACTCCCCCATAATTAAAATCGATCTTCACCCTTCTGCAATTCTCTTTGTACATGTATTGTTGACACGTCCAAGAAGTTTGACCCATTTAAAATGCTTAGTTTTAGAAAAAGTACAGCATAAAGCGAGAAACGATTTTATATGAAAAAAATAAAAATGTACTTAATTGTAGCTTTTTTAATGACTAAAATTTTCCTTTATTTAGATTTGTTGTACAATGAATATTTGGCGAGATATAGCCGTTTAAAGCATCGATTTACGATCAAGCATCATCTTTTTCGAGCCCTTTAAACTCACCCCATTTTAAAACCAAGGGTTCCAAAAAGATTTAATTCACAGATCCTTGTAGCTCTTAAAAACCTCTACAAAATCGTTCTTGAAGAAACACTATATCGTTAAAAATGAAGGAAATACGTTAAAAAAACCAATTAATTTTTTTTTTCCGGAAAATTCCATTAGTATAGTACAGTACATTTGGGAGCATAATAATCTACAAAACCGGTATATTAAGTAGTGGGGCGTTATAAATTCGAAATTTTAAGCGTTCTTATTTTAAAATCCCATACAACAGAATAAAACATCTGCTCATATGTCTATGGCTTGGCAATGAAAATATCAGAGCAATAGATTGGGAATGGTATTCCAAAGATGGTTTGTTATTACCCGTACGCATGAACAAACAACCTGCACCCGATGAACTTTTGAAGATTATTTTTTGCCAATGCAAAAAAGGATGCGGCGTTTCATGTGGGTGAAGAAAAGTTGGTTTATACTGTAACTCTACTTGTTCTGGGTGCTCAGGTGAAGTTTTAGAAGACGGGTAGTTTGTTTTTTAGTAAACGTGTGTTTTATAATAAATGTGTAAACAAAATTAACTTGCCTGTTATATGAGACAATATTGATAAAGTAGTTCGACATCCACGAAAGGTCAAAATATTAACCATTATCTAAAGAAAACCATTATTACCACTCACCTGAACAGAAGGCAATAATTCAGGATTCTTCATTAATTCCCCGACGCAATCCAACCTTTCTTCAATGTACGAAATCCTCGAAGGAGGTTGAAGGATCCACGAACGCAGTTTTCTTTTACCAATTTTCGTATAGCAACAGTCTAATATTCCTAAAAGGCTGGAAAATTTATTGGCCTGAGCAGGTTTTGCACTAAAAACTAATTCCAGTCGATCTGCTGTCGATACATCTAGGAAAATACAATGTTATTTCTTCAATATAGCTAAACAAACCAAAATAATGAGGACGATTAGCAAATAAATCACTAAAATTTCTTGCCAACTGTTATTGACAAATTTCTGTTTTTTAGTAAATTTTTTACTAGAAGATAACACTTTCCTCGAACATAAGTCGACAATCAAAACTTTTATGTTGGTTAATTATAAAAGACGCCGATTAATTAATCTTCGTCGAAGCAAGGTATAATTCGATGTTAAAGTAATCTGCGTCTGCGTTAATTGTGTGTGCAATAACTAAGACGAGATATAACATTTAATTAAGAGTACGAAATAATTTTGATTGTGTATGTGAGAGCATCGCGATGTTTGTCCCTCTAAAGCCACGTTTTCACGATAACAATTGGTGAGACAATTATCAGAAGACAACTTACTGGTATGAAATTATTGTCTTCGTCTAAAGCCGCGTTTTCACGGTGACAATTGGCGAGACAATTATCAGAAGACAACTGGCTGGCATGGAATTATTGTCTTCGTCTAAACACTTCAGGCCAATTGCCTTGCCAACTGCCCTAACAATTGGCCCAAAATTCAGTTGTCTGCGGGAGTAGACTGAGGACAATGAGCTGCGCCCAGTGAGCCCCTCCACCACTCGAAATCTCAATTGTCGCGACAATTGGTGCCGTGTGAACTGTGTAGGCCAGTAGTAATTTGTATTATTTGGGTTAAATTTAATTTTCGTAGAATGAACATAACCTATAGATATGGTTGACGTTAAATGTAAGCTTAATATACATCAGTGTTGACATAAACTCAATTATTTCACACTCTCATTATGAAATGAAAATTTTAAATTGAAAAATACATACATAATTAAACAAAAACGTGAAAAATACATATTTAATTAAAAACCTTAAAATTATACCTATAAATATTATAAAATAAAATTATATCTTACATTTAAAATACTTATATAATAAAAACCATTAAAATTATGCTTAAGGTAAAAATTAATAGTTTAGAAACTTTAAAAACTACAGAATAAAGTAAAGTTAAATGAAAATAAAAAAATTAGGTTAAACATAACAATACACTAAATACTTAGCTATATTTAAAGTAAAAATACTATTTTATGAATGCTTTTTAATATGAATTCAAAAATTGTGGCTTCTCATAACAAAACATTATATAAAAATTAATGGGAAATCCCAGTAGTTGGCTGTATACCATCGTTTAAAAAACTTATACGGAAGTAAAACACTTCACATTTACCTAAGTATATACCTAAATACAAGTATGAAGCATTTTACTTCTGTATAAGTTTTTTAAAACATTATATACAATTTCGTCAAAGTATCTTTCTATTTTAAAAACTCCTATACTTCATACAAAAAAATGTGGCAACACTGTGTTTTAAGTCCTCATCGGACACAACAGATGATGAGCAGTCGGCCATGTTTTAATTGTCTACTGTCATGGCAATAGTTGGCCCCGTATAAACATCTCGTTCAACTGGATTGGCCTCCGACAATCCGAAACCACGTGATGACAATTGTCCAATGACAATTGTCATCGTGAAAACGCGGCTTAAACACTTCAGGCCAATTGCCTTGCCAACTGCCCTCACAATTGGTCCAAAATTCAGCTGTCTCCGGGAGTAGACTGAGGACAATGAGCTGTGCTCAGTGAGCCCCCCACCACTCGAAATCTCAATTGTCGAGACAATTGGCGCCGTGTGAACGGTGTAGGCCAGTAGTATTGTCTTGTCTTTTGCCAGTTCCCTCTAGTTCTCTGGTGTCAGTCAAAACATACACGTGGTTTGTGTTATTTGTAGCTGTATACTGGCATGGCAATAGTTGGCCCCGTATAGGTAAACATCTTCTCGTTCGACTGGACTGGCCTCCCAGACAGCACAGGATATCCCTGGGACGTCCATTTTATGTCGTTTTAAGGTCCAAACATCCCGGGACTTCTTTTGGACGTCCGAGGGACGTCCAAGGGATATTTCTAGTCGGACATACCAGAGACGTCCCATAAGGTCGTCCAAGGGACGTCCTATTAGGGATGTATTAGGGACGTTTTCTAGGTGTTAACTGTGTGATTTTTTTACTTAAGCATATTTTTTACAAAATATAATCTTCCTACTAAACTTTATTTTAAAAAGTTATATTTAGTTTTAAATACCATTAATTTATACGAAAACAGACAGAGGCTCCTTTTAGAGAAAAAGCTTTATCCTATAGCAGAGCTGTATCTCTAAAATTTTGTTCTGTAGTGGAACTGAAATTTAAACTTAGGAGATAAAAGAAGAATGTGGTTATGTTTTAACGACGCTTCTATTTATCTCGTTTATTTCTCGAATTATAATCATTGTGGTTGTGGTTGTAATTAGAATTAGTTTATTGCTTTCGATACTAGTTTATAGTTTGGTAATTTATTATTATAGACATTAAGTAGGTATATAGGACTTTTATAGGTAATTTTTGTGGTTGTGGTGTGTTGCTACATTTGTAAAGTAAGTAGGAGTAATGTGCTTAAAAAATACTATAAATTTAAATACATATGTTAATATAAGTACACAATAAAAATCCCATTTATTTTTGCTTTTCATTTTAATAATTTTAAGGTCCCTTTAGGTCCTGTATACATCCTCATTTAGGTCCTATATTAGTCCATGTGGACGTACAATAGATGTCCCCATTACATCCTTCTTAGGTCCTATATAAGTCCGTATTAAGTTCTGTATATGTACTATGTACGTCCCCATGAACATCCCTGGGACGTCCAGGGGACGTACTTTTTGGTAACATTTAGGTCTTATTGGACGTCCCGGGGACGTCCAAATTATGTAAACGGATGTCCGGACATTTAATGAGGTACATCCTTTGGACGTCCATGGGACGTACTTGTGCTGTTTGGGCTCCGACAATCCGCAACCACGTGATGACAATTGTTCAATGACAATTGTCTCGACAATTGTCATCGTGAAAATGAGACTAAAGCCGCGTTTTCACGATGACAATTGGCGAGACAATTGTCATTGGACAATTGTCATCACGTGGTTTCGGATTGTCGGAGCCCAGTCCAGTTGAACGAGAAGATGTTTATACTGTGCCAACTATTGCCATGGCAGTAGACAGCTAAAACATGACAACTAAAAATTTTTATATGTTTGTCCGTCACAGTGTTGCCACATTTTTTGTATAAAGTATAGGAGTTTTTAAAATAGAAAGATACTTTGACGAAATTGTATATAATGTTTTAAAAAACTTATACAGAAGTAAAATGCTTCACACTTGTATTTAGGAATATACTTAAGTAAATGTAAAGTGTTTTACTTCTGTATAAGTTTTTTAAACGATGGTATACAGCCAACTACTGGGATTTTCCCATTAATTTTTATATAATGTTTTGTTATGAGAAGCCACAATTTTTGAATTCAAATTAAAAAGCATTCATAAAATAGTATTTTTTACTTTAAATATAGCTAAGTATTTAGTGTATTCTTATGTTTAACCTAATTTTTTTATTTTCATTTAACTTTACTTTATTCTGTACTTTTTAAAGTTTCTAAACTATCAATTTTTACCTTAAGCATAATTTTAATGGTTTTTATTATATAAGTATTTTAAATGTAAGATATAATTTTATTTTATAATATTTATAGGTATAATTTTAAGGCTTTTAATTATATATGTATTTTTCACGTTTTTGTTTAATTATATATGTATTTTTCAATTTTAAATTTTCATTTCATATATATATATATATATATATTTATATATATATATATATATATATATATATATATATATATATATATATATATAAATCTTGCCCAAAATTTTATATATGAGAGTGTGAAATAATTGAGTATATGTCAACACTGACGTACATTAAACTTACATTTAACGTCAAACATATCTATAGGTTATGTTCATTGTACGAAACACAGTCCTGTGGTACGAAAATTAAATTTAACCCAAAAACACAAATTACTACTGGCAGCACTACTGGCCTACACCGTTCACACGGCACCAATTGTCGCGACAATTGAGATTTCGAGTGGTGGAGGGGCTAACTGGGCGCAGCTCATTGTCCTCAGTCTACTCCCGGAGACAACTGAATTTTGGGCCAATTGTGAGGGCACTTGGCAAGGCAATTGGCCTGAAGTGTTTACACGAAGACAATAATTTCATGCCAGTCAGTTGTCTTCTGACAATTGTCTCGCCAATTGCCATCGTGAAAACGCGGCTTAAAGGACGAGAGAATTTGTGTAGGCGGGAAATGATTGTCCTTACAGAGGACGAGAGAACTGATAACTGAGATTGCGCAATAATTATTATTGTACGTAGAGAGTAGAGAGCTCGTGATGCGATTGTCGCACTAAGAACGAGAGATTGTGATTGTTATATGCAAAAAACCAGCATTTTATAGAGATTTTAAATGAGGGGAGATTTTTTACTAACTTTTTATGGCTTTGTAGTTTTATAAATTCAAAAGCAATAAAATATTTTACGATCTGCTATTTAAACCTTTTAGTGCGAATAGAACATGCAGGTATGTACATAGGGGTTTAAAAATTAGAAATATTTTTGCAATGGACTGTACATGATCAAACAACATTTAATATGTAACAATGGCATACAAAGATTTAAAACTGGAGACTTTGTTAGGTTTGTACTATTTTTTATAGTTGGTCAGTGGGGTTACAGTTTGAAATCATATTTAATGACACGAATAGAGATGCTAGAACAGAAGCCAGAGAGTCGTTTTAATGAATCTCCCCTACGAACTAGGAATGTTGTGTGAATGTTAAAAATCTAATGAGATTAAATTTGAAAGTGACTATGAATGTAATAGTAGCAACAGCACTATTTCATGAAGTCACCATAGAAAATGGAGTCTTGATTCCTGTAGATTATAATCTAGATCAACAAGAAAACCATGTAACTAATAAAAGAAGATAATTTACCTTCATTTAAGGTGAAATTGAGGAAATATTGTGAGTTATGTATTAGACAACATTTTGCACAACTAGATTCACAATTTCTGAAAAAATATTTTCTATTAAACCAATTGTTTTGTTTTTGAAGTAATTTACAATGTATAAGTTTTAAATTTACTTCCACCTTTGCCAAGATAAATTTTATAGAATATTATGTTTATATTTCAGTATTATAATAATATGGTTATTTTGATAAAAATAAAGCAAAATTGATAGAAACGCAATTGCCAACCTATTAATTTAGACACCTAAGTTTACTTTTAATAATGAAAGAGCTATAGGTTAGGTACCTTAGTCTAAAGTGAAAATTAGTTTAGGTTTTCATTATGAAATCGGGCTTTAATTTTTAGTCTATACACTTCCTATTTTAAAATAATTTCATATAAATATATTGTCGGATCTTTACAATTATCAGTTCAAAAACTGTAAATATAAAATAAATTAAAAATAATAAATAAATAATAAAATAACTTTATGCAATTCTAAATATATTATTTAATTTTAAAAATTCAGAAAACATAATATAAAGCTTCGCGCTAGTCTATAGTACCGCTTACTGTTTCACCTTTTTTTAAATTTTGCCAGCGTATTAAAGTAATTATTAAGATCGTACTTTACCTATTAAAGCATATCCTTCTGATTCTTGATAGTCAATTTTTAGCGATCCCGCTGCATGATATACGTATAGATTATCCTGTAGGTGACTTAGCAAGGCACACGCAGCTGCCAGAGCGTAATATCTAAAAATAGTACAATAAAACCAGAATACGAATAGACGTGGAAATACTGTGCGCACTAGCAGATTTCAAATTACTGTACGGAGTAGCCATTGTAAATAAAATGCATAAGAGATTTGTTGTAGAATTTGCGTATAAAGAAATCAAAGTAAGTGTGTGAAATTAAAAATCTCGGATTCCATTGAAAAAAAAAAAAGAAAATAATCAAAATCTTTAAAAGGGACATTATATAAGACATCTACGATTACAGTATTACAGGCAGATGAAACAAATTAGAGACGTTAAAAGATATATTGTATTTACTGATGTCGTTTTTATATTCAAGCCATAGTCGCAGTAATAGTTTGATTGATAGAACAAACAAGTGACTTAAAAATCCTGTCTCTAAGGCCAACGTTTGATCATTGTGGGTACAGGGAAAGAAGCAAGTTTCCTCCGCCCGTGTAATATTGGTAACCCTGTAAAATAAGCCACAAACAAATTCTGCATTCCACCTCAGAGTTGCGCGCAGCTCACGTCTATTGTTATCCTGGAACAGGATAAGGTGTTTTTTATCAAGTTAATAAAAATTTTAATAAATAACACACATTTCGAAAATATATCTTTTGAATAAATATAAATAACTTTTAAAGAATTAAATAATACAGAACATTACTTTCATTTAACAAACAATCACATTACACCTATTTTCTACATCATTAGATAAAATCTATCTCCTCAAGAAACTTCCCCGTTGATTGACAAACAGTTACAATAGTAAAAACTGAAGATCCCATTATCAGCAATTACAGGATAGTTTGAACTATGTTCTCCCAGTCATTAATTAATCGTGTACCGGCATGTAAGTAATGTTTTCTTTATTTACTAATTTATTACAATTCAATACACTATTTTTATACCATAATATACAGTATACAATTTGTGGGTCTTACTTTGTTTTCTTAAACAGTTTATTCATTTAAAACAACACACACACATACAATATTGGCATAATTACTATAATTTTATGTATCTATTGTTTATCTTTATAAGACAACACCCTAATATGGGTTTTATTATTTCAGCATTTAATTAACTTTGTATCGACAGACCTGAAGAGACTTTGCAAATTGTAGAAAGCGAAACCGGTCGTCTAGATAGTTAAATTAAACTGATTGTGAGTAAGTCTTATTTATTATTTCTTTTACCTATTTGAAATAGACTCACACAAGCAACACATTAACGATTTTAATTCAACTATATTTATAGTGTTTTTACTCATGTATTTAGTGGCTATAAAGCCAAAGAAAAGTTTCATAAGGAAGGCTGCCGAAGAAATCGAGGGATACTTGGCAATTCACCTCTCAAAAAATGAATTGACAATAACCGATCGAAAACTCTTAAATAAAAAAGTGCAATCTTTTTAAGGTGTCGTCTTCTTTGAAGCTTAGCGATAGTTTTTACATTACTGAACATCTTTTTTATTTAGAATTAAAATAAAAATGAAAGTTATGCAATCATCACCCGTTTCATAGATTGCTTTAAATAGGTATATAGTTCGGCGAGCACATAAATATAGTATCTTCATTCTGCAGGTTCAACAGTTTAACAGGCATTTCAACCTGGTGTTTTTCTGTTATTATTGTTCTGATTTGGTTATGGGCCACTTGTAACACCCCCACCACTCCACTCTGACGTTACAAATCTACGCACAATCGCCCCTCTAGAAAGAAGTCTATAACGGATTGGTAGAAATCTACAACAGCTGATAACAGATGTAGAACACTTTAGAATAGTTAGACTGGTTTGAAACACTATTGTTGACTTTTTTTCTTGTTCTAAGTTGTTCTAAATTGGTCTAGATCTTTTCTTAGCAGATATAAACCTATTCTGCGCTGTTCTAGACTTCTTTCCAGAGAGATCACTTTGGACAGATTTGTAAAAAATACGGAGATGTCGTAAGTGGTTTATAAGCTGCTGTTCTGAATATTTTATACTGAAATAGCTATACATTCAACATCTTCTCCCCATTTTTAAGTTTTCTCTTTGTGTCTATTAAAATATTTTATTTGCCCTCTATTAACCTCTTCTGTGTCAATTTTTCTTTAATTTTCAGCGATTTAAAACCATTTTATGTATGTTAAAATAATATAACAGTAATTAAAGATTAATTTAATTTCTTACATCGCAATATAAACTTACCTATGCTGCAAAACCAATAAAACACCATTGAGCGATGGAATACATAGCTTGGACAAAATTTCTAAGCCGTTGATTTTATTAAAGAGACTTCTTGGTACACCGGTATATCTTATATTGGGAAATTGTTCTTTTACTTTAGTTATTAATCTGTTACCACCGAAATGTTCAAAAGTGCTTGGAAACAAAATCTGTAAGAAAAAATCGTGTATGGTACGGTTTTTATGACGTCAATACCAACAGTACGACAAAATAATTTCCCAAAACTTCACCTAAATTTATTTAATTGAAATACATACATAATGTTCCAGAGCAAACACATATCTGTATTGTCTGGCATATCTATTTGTTTGATCCAAAATATTAAGACTGAAAAACTGCCAAACTATGAAAGTCAGTAACAGCACAGAGACATTGAACTCAATGATGCTAAAACCTCTTACCGTAAAACATTTGTACACACAACTTGAGAAACTAGATTAAGATTTCCGTGAGTTCAAAAACTTCCTGCAGGAACAAAAGAAACATTACTAATGAAAAAACTAAAAACATTCGAATTGCAGCCAGTGGAAGAGATAATCATGAAAAAATTGCAAAACATCTATCAAAATCGATAAAACTTCTAAAAAGGCCAAAGAGAAATTCAACCAATCTATAAAAATCGAAGAAAATTCTGAAATAATTCAAGAAGTTACTAGAAAGGGCGATGGGAAATTTTAAAATGTTTTCCTAAAATTCAAAGAAGTTTCTACACTGATCGAAGAAACTTCTAAAACAAATGAAAATATTATAAAAGGCAGAAAAATGTAGAAAACAAAAATAGTGAGAACACAACAATAGATATATCGATAACTGCCCTTGCACAGAAGAAGAAATGGCTGTTTTCTTGACTGTGACTTTACGAGATGATGTTGCCAACAGTCTTCGATTAATTTTTAAGGGCCAAGTCAAATGTTATCAGACATTATTCAAACGCGACTGGAAAAATGCTATGGAGATGCTCATCTACAAGAAGTATACAAAGCAGTAGAATCCAATATTGCGTTTATCGCGTGTTGGCTTTCCCAGAAACCATTGAAAATATTTTGACGATAGATACAATCGTGAAAGGTTTGAATGGTAAAACCAATTACCGAAACCTCAACAGTTAATTACCAAAACTAATACGAGGATAGATTGATATTAAACTAGTCTTTGATAGATGGCGCTACTTGATACCGAATTTGTTTCGGTATTGACATTTGTCATTCATGACATGATGTCTGTCAAAATTTTAAGTTTTAAAAACAATTAGTTTGGTTTTTACAGCCGTCAAAAGCAAGCAAATTTTGTGTTTTCGGAGAAATGGAAAAAGTCGAATATCGTTCGGGATTAAGTTCCTCCACAAAAAGGGTAAAACGAATGTGCAAATCAAAGCCGACCTGGGCAAAGTTTATGGTGAGATTGCACCTTCGTTAGCAACAGTAAAATTTTGGAAAGCTGGATTTGTTCGTGGTCGTACAAGTGTTTTTGATGACGAGCGTTCCGGGAGGCCAATTGAGGTCACCACACCGGAATTGATCAACAAAGTCCATGACATGATTATGGCAGATCGTCGAATTAAGCTCCGTGAGTTAATAGAGGTCCTAAATATTTAATACGAACGCGTACACAACATCAGAGTCACCATCATTTGGACATAAAAAAGCTACCCGCGCGATGGGTGCCGCGTTTGCTGGCAATCGATCAAATGCAAAAACGTGTGACCACTTGGAAGACGCTTTTGGCGATGATACGGTGTGATCTGAAGGAATTTTTCATCGATTTATCATCGTTGATGAAACCTGGGCGCATTATTACACATCGGAAACCAAACAACAGTCGAAACAGTGGCGCAAACGAGGCGAAGGGCTGCTGAAGAAATCAAAGAGTGCACATTCGGCCGGCAAAGTGATGGCGACTATTTTCTGGGATACGAAGGGCATCATATACATTGACTACTTGGAAAAGAGAAAAACAATCAATGGTAAGTACTACGCGGCATTATTGGATCGATTCGATGCCAAATTGCGTCGATAACGCTCCGGTTGCAACGCACAAAAGTGCTCTTTCGCCAAGACAATGCACCGGCTCACCGATCGGCCGTCGCCATGGCAAAATTACACGAGTTGTGCTATGAATTGGTTGAACACTCACCATATTCCCGCCAGATTTTGCCGCCAGCGATTTTTTCATATTTCCAAACCTAAAAAAATAGCCCGGAGGATGCCGTTTCCCAACATATGATGAAGTTGTCGCTGAAACTTCGGCCTATTTTGATAAGCTCAAGCAAAAGTACTATTCGGATAGGATAAAAAAATTGGAACATCGTCTTACTAAGTGTATCGATCTAAAAGGGGACTATGTTGAGAAATAAATGGATTTAATTCCAAAAAACTTGTTTTTTCCTATCAAAGGCTAGTTTTATATCAATCCACCCTCGTAAAAGCACTTGCTATTGTCTTTGATCACCAAATCGCTAGTCAAAATTCGCGAGGCTATCAAATGCCAACTATTGGAGAAGACAACGAACAGATTGCAAGAGAGTGGTACCTATCTGACCCCCCAAGCTATAACACACTCCGTAATGGAGTGGTACCCCCCCCCTCCCAGCTATAATCAACCACTCCACCCCATCGCAATACATAAAGGATGGGGAGGCTTTGTACTGAAAGTTACTTTTGATGATCTGGCAAATGGGATATCCTCTGTTTTACTTTATAAGGTTAAGTCTCCTGATTTTAGGGATAGCTAGAAGAGCTTTTCCCCCTATGAATGAAAAAAGTTCGCAAGCGTCAACAACAGTTAACATACGTTATTCCCTCCCAATGCCAGCCCATGCTTCGACTTTGTCGAGCTGGGTGCTGGCACTCCCAAGCATCCTCTAAGCCGCCGCCCCTGTATTATATTCGCATAGATAGTGAGAGTTCCTTACCTCGCTGGGATAAAAAATATTTATTTTCGTCAACGTATTTATATAATTCTGCGTATCCGATATTTGACAAATGACCAGCTGTGGACTGGAAATAGTTATCACTGCGATTCCAACTTCACATTGTGCCGTTCCTCTGCCTTCAGTCAAAGCTGAAATAAAATTTAATTGGGGCAAAACGTTTCTTTCTTATAGAGATAAAGTGGTAGGTAATTCAAATATAGTTAAATGCAGTACAAAAGAACAGAGTACTGTTGAGTTATAAAATGGTACTATTTGCTGTGGTAAAAGTTTTTTGGCCCATTTATTTTTATAATCAAAACATACAATATAGTATAATATATACAATAACCGCCCATATAAATCTAGTACCTATAACCACCTAATAAATATTTAAATATATAATAATTTTAAAAAGCATATTAATATAATAATCTAGTAAACACTAACAATAAAAATACTTACCAACAATGGTCTTTGATTGATTTCCATCCGTTGTTTTAGTACTTGTTGATTTTCGACTGGAACTTGAGTTTAGGACACTAAAAATATTTTTATCAATCAAGATAGTCTAGAACAATCATATAATATACAATTCATTTCATTCATTCATTTCATTTTATAATGTACAATTGTTTACCTTACACAAGCACTTCCCCACTTTGTTTTTGACGAATGTACAGTTGAAGATTTCTTAGCTGATCTTTTATTTAGTAATGACAATGAAGATATGGTATCCACAGAAATTGTCGAATCTTCTGCTTGGCGTGGTTGTTGATCTAAAAAAATAACACTTTAAGAATTTGAATGATCAAAACAAAAATGTGTTTACCTGCTTTATTAGTAATAATAAACTTGGATTTGCTTTTGCAGTTTTTTCTTTGATTTATAATACAATCATTTAAATTCATATTTAGCAAATTGTGTTGTCTCTTAACAAATAAACCAAAATTTTATTTAAAAATTATAATTCACAGAGTAGGTACATCTAGACAATTCAAAATCTATTATATTCATGTTCTATGAATAACTTCATGGAATTGCAGTGCCATTTTTAGCGGACTATCATTATAAAGAATGCTTTGTAGTGGTGACGTCACAGTTGATCGTACTAGATTATTCATATTTTATATATCTATTATTAATTTATTTCTTTTATAAATGTTGAACAATTATTTGTTTATATTATTAATGTCCTGGAATTCATAAATTTAACACAATAATATTAAAATCATGTTTAGTGAACCTGGCAACAGCGATATGTTGTTGCTAACTTCACGACTCTGTTTCCTTCGTTTTCCTTCTTACTTCAGGCTTAACTAAATAAATAAAAATAAACATTTATATTTTGATGATGTCAATTTTAAATGAAACAGATTTATATTTCTTAAAATGTTTGGGTTTTCTCCATTCCAGTGCCAACTTGAGAAAAGGCGATACTGTACCTTTACAATGTATGGTGGAAGAGAGTATTAAAAATAAGTATGGAGTTTCCAAAGACTACACTGATATTGTTCAATCCTGGTTACCAGTTCAGGATGATAATTTTACAACTATAACAGCCTTTGAAGATAGCAAAGGTTCTAATTCTGACAATGAACTTGAATTAGATTTATTGAAAGAGGATCTGATGTGTGTAATATGCAAGTAAGTAAAAGTATGTTTTGTTGTTTAATTTCAAAAGAAATGGTTTTGTAAACATCTGTAACTGAGAAATTTATTAAGATTTACTTTATTTCGAATTTAACCCTGCAACTCTCACTTATTGAATGTTAAATTAAAATGTTTGTAGTGGAATGGATGTAGGAGCCCGAAATCGTTTGGTGGAGTGTTCTGATTGCCATTCATTGTATCATCAAGAGTGTCATACACCAGTAGTTACAGGAGATTCATTTGAAAACTGGAACTGTTCTAATTGTAAGGTATGTTCTTAAAATATCATATTAAATAAGAACAACTTTTTATTTCTTCTTTGAAGTTTAAGTTTAATATTAAAACTATAAATGCTTATATATAGTTATTATATTAATGTTAACATATAAGTTGAATTATTTCTAGGAAGAAGCAAGTAAAAAGGTGAAATTATCAGGTGCAGGAGAGAGCCCTTCTCACAGCAGTAGTCCTAAATCTAGCTCTCAAAAGCAATCTCCTTCAAGTTCTTACAAAAACTCAAGTTATTCCAGGTGAATTCCTGTTCAACCTATGTGAATCCTATAAACTGTTGTAGATATATATATATATATATATATATATATATATATATATTATATATATATATATATATATATATATATATATTATATATATTATATATATATACTATATGTTATATATATACTATATGTTATATATGTATTGAATGAACTGATTTCTATATGATTTTTGTTCCACTTGAATTATGCACACTAATTTTAATGGTTTTATTTTGTGTTCTTTTTCCATATTGAAGAGCTTCAATTTTTTAAGTTATATTGTAATAAACTAGGAACAAATTCTTGCGGAAAGAATGTAAATATTTCCTAGATTTATTCAATAAAGATATAGTAAGATATACTAGTTGTTTTTATATTTTTACATACAACTGAACAACTTGAAAAAAAAACTAATTATATAAATTTGTTTGATCAGTGCATCATTAAGGCAAGGCACAAATTAGGTCATGTAGGGCATGTTTAGGACCTGAGCAAAGAGCAGGTCCAATGTGGAAAAGACAAACAGAAGACAGAGCCAAATGGGAGAGGCCTACATTCAACACATGAATAGATTTTGGGCTAAAGATAGATAGATAGAGATAGTATGTTTGAGGTGATGCAGCACAACCCATGTTTTTGTAACCTATTGAAATGATTAGAACAGCACAAATTGACTAGTGAGGTGACAAACACACCAAATATGTGACATTGTGGTAGATACGCAGTTACACATATTGTTTCTATAGCGCATTGTTTCTCATGCATTTATAACTTTCTCGTTTCTAATAAGTTTAAAAATGTCAGGAGAAAAGTTGATAGAGATGGTAAGGGGTCACAAAGAGCTTTATGAAATGAGCTATTTACATTATATGAAAACTAAGTTGAAGAACCAGATTTGGCTGCATATCGTGACATAACTAAATTTATCATCTTCAGATTCAGAACTTAAGTTTAATGATAATAAATATTTTTTTCTTGCATCTGATATTTTCCAATAATGTAAGACCTTGCACCTCAATATGCAGATGATCCATGCAGTATATATGAACTAGCTTTCTTTTCGGGTTTAGGAGAGCACAGCCCAATCAGTGCCTTTACTGTGGTCTTTCGGATACTGTGACACACATGATGTTGGAGTGTGAGCATGGGCGGATGAAAGTAAGAAGTTTAAAAGAGAGGGTAACTGCAGAATGTTTGATTCCGAGAAATGGTGGAGAAAATGATAACGGATGAGTGGTAGTGGACACGGATCCACAAGTTTATCAGAGAGCTGCTCTCGTCAAAAGAACGAGAGGAGAGGGAACTCACAACAGAATTTTGAAACGAGCGAGTAGCACCTCGGTAGGGTTTGAACTGTCGCAGGAAATATTACTGAATGAGAGACAGACGGCAGTTACGCTAAGGCAGGGGATTGAAAGTCTTTGGTGGTTCATGTGGGAGTGATATTCCTGATGAATGTGTGGGAAAACGAATGGGAATCAGGTGATAGCAGGGCATCAGTAGAGATGTTTTGCCTTAACCAGTCTGGAGTGACAGAGGAGAGGTTTTTAATTGGACGCCGACCCTCTCTTAGTGGTGACGAGATGAAATGTCAAAGGTCTAACTTCCTCGGCCATCTTGTCCTAGCACAACTTCGTTAGGGTATTAGGAACTTAGCACTACCTGGGTGAGTCACAGGTATCTGTATGCAGATTTTCCTTCTCTTTAAAGATGTAAAAAAAGTACATAAGAGCTGCGTCTCAATTTGCGGTTCCCCACGCAGCACTTGTGGCATGTACCGTTTCCGTCATAAAAAACTGGTACAACTCTTATTAACGAAAATCGTGTTTTTCAAGTTGCGTAAGTTGAGCTTGTCACTCTACTTCCGAAGGCAACATTGCAAGTTCAACGAAAATATATCAAACTAGCTAAAAGGGGGCTGTGCGACAGGTCGCAAGTTTTTAGTATAAAAAAAACAAACAATATTGAGCATTCTCGATCAGTCAGTCACATTTATATTTATACATTTATTTAACCCATTCGCTGCGTGTACCTGCACGTCCACTCGCACCTACTGCGTTTTAATTACTGGGCACTGGCTAAGTAATTTCGAACCGAGCTATGACGCCAAATGGCGGCGTGGGCACTAGGTATCAGATCATTCACGGGGTGAAAAACGTTTTTCACCCCGGATATTTTATAGTTTATAATCTACGTAGGATAAAGTATCTGTTACTTTTTCACATTTATCGTTCATGTAATAAGTAATAAATTAATTTAGGTAGTTTGCCTGTTACTAAACTTATTGACATAACATACAGTTAACAGTTTGTGTTCTGCAAGTAATTGAAATATAAAATTACAGTAGATGCATTCCAATGTTCCCTGTGCCAATACCATCGAGCAAAAAGACAAAAGAGGGAATCTAATCCTTATGAAAAGGAGACCAAAAAAGTGGCCTCTGATGGCGGACATATCCGGAAATGCGAATGCGCCAAATTTAAATTTTCCGACACTTATCAACAGTAGCTATATAATATTTTTCAGAATGTGTCTTAGACGAGAAAGTTTTAATTAATTATTAACGACAATAGTCTAAAATGCGACAGAATTGTTAAAAAACTTCAATATAAATAAAATTTCATGTGACATTTGGGACAAACAATAACATAACCCAAGGTTAGTAGATATTTAAGTTAACTGAAATATCTACCAACCTTGAACATAACTCAACTAAGTTTGATGTCAAACAAGGAGAGAGACTCTCTTTCCTTGTTTAATGTGGCCTCTAAAGATTGCACTTCCTGTCTAACAATATGTTTGCCCCACTCCCTCTTTTGTCTTTTTGCTCGATGGCCAATACCCTAAGTTTAAACATCGTTCAACATTTTGTACATTAAATCAATCCTCTTTCTGATTATTAAATTTATTAGATACGGTTTTTTGTTGTTAATAATAAAAATAATACCTATCTAAAAATTTTATACATTTTTGAACGTTATTTTTTACGTTTTATTTAAATTTACTGAAATTCCGTTATCTGTGATGGCAACAACGAATTGATTCACGAACCATTGTGTCCAGTCTGAACACAGGTTTACATTGAGAAAAAAAGTTTACCAGTTTTATATGAAGGGAAGTGTACGCTTCATGTTCCTTGTCAGGTCACCTCACATGTGCTCAATTTGCACATTGTTCAAGAGACACAGTTGTTATACTACTCTGCTATGTAACGTAGATGAGGTTATGTATTCATGGCTAGGTGTGCCAAAAATTTCATAATGCATAAATCATTGATAATAAGTTCTTATTATTATATTTTCATTTAATAATAAGTGCACTTAATAATAAGTGCAAATAGCTTTCACTTTCACAAAAAAAGGCTGGCGATAAGTGATAATTAATGTATATGTCACTTATAGTCCAGGTAGAGGCATTCAAATATTTGTGTACATCTATTATAGTCCAGATAACTTTTAAAAAATGTGCCGAACAAATATTCGGGCTTCTTCTGTTTGATTTGAGCCAGCATAAGGTGCAAGACGATTTATGTGAACTACTTTTGGTTTACCTTTCGGTAACTTCTTAATTCGGTATATTACGTCATTTATTCTCTTTTTAATTTCATACGGACCCTCCCATTGTCTTTGCAGTTTAGGAGACAAGCCACGACGACTTTGTGGATTATAAAGCCAAACAAAATCACCTACTTCATAGCTTTCATTCTTGCATCGAGAACAGTATTGATCTTTCAATCTGTCACTGGTTAACTAGATGTGTTGTCGGGCAAGTTCATAAATGTTGTTTATTCTTAACTTCAGGCGGTCGACATAATCTTCGCTTGCAACATGTACTTCGGAAGGTCTGCAGCCAAACTCTAGGTCGCACGGAAAACGAACTTCACGACCTAACATCAGGCAGGTTGGAGTTGGAGAGTTTTATTCACGGCCGAGCGGTAGGCCATTGGGAATAAATAAATGTGCTGGTCCCAATCTCTTTGATGTTTTGATACAACTTTGGACAGGTGTTTACTCATCGTTCGGTTCATGCTCTTTCCAACGCAACGTTTTGGAAAAGGGTTGACTCGAAGTTTCGCCCTTGGTCGGAGTGGATCTCTAAAGGAACACCAAATCGGCTAAAGAATTCTTTAACAACTACCTCTGCAACGGTAGCAGCTTCTTGATTTGGTATCGCATAGGCCTCAGTCCATTTCGTAAAATAATCCATGGCTACCAGGATATATTTATTTCCATCATTTGTCTCTGGAAGTGGACCTGCAATGTCGATTGCTATTTTTTCCATAGGACTACAAACATTGTACTGTTTCATGGGTGCCCTCTTTTTACCAACTGGACCATTATTGGTTGCACATAGTTCACATTTCCGGCGCCATCTTCTTACATCATCTTTACAGTTTACCTAATAGAACCGTTCTCGAACCTTTTGCAGAGTCTTCGTAATATCAAAGTGTCCACCTGATGCACTGTCATGTAACTGACGCAATACTTCTGACACTTTACTTTTAGGTACAATCAACCGAAGCTTAGATTCTGTACCATCATCGTTCTCAAAAGGTTCTATACAGAAGATCATCTTTTAACACTAGGCAATTCCATTGGCTCCAGTAACACTTGACTTCTGGACTACATGCACTAATGTCTTGCCAAGAAGGTCTTTCAATACGACGCATCCAATCCAATACTCTTTTTATATATGGATCATCTGCTGGAGCGTCTTGTAGCTATTGAGGCTGCCATTGATCATTAATGACGGTATTTCGTCTCACGAGGCAAAGTCGTTCTTCTAATTTAGGACAATGATTACGATTTGCACTGTATGGCCGTCTTGACTGAGCACCAACATTTGAATGTCGTTTTCCAGCCCAGTGTTCGATCTGTTCTAGCTTTCTGACTGTTGCACTATTTTCTTGAAATTTGGGGCGAATGTGACCTACTGTTACGATTCCAACATCTGGATTCACGTCTCTTCGGCATCATGTTACGGAACTACTTTCCATACGATTTCCTCCAGACGTTTATCGTTTCGTTTGTCACTCTCTTCAGAGGTTCGTACTCGATAGCTCCGTGAAGCTTGACTAGCTGTTTCGTGCTCCAATGCAATAACGAGCGTTTCATCTAAAACTTTCGGTGTTGCTAGTCGTAAAGCTTTCTGTAGTTCACTGTCTCTCAACCCATTGACGAAGGTATCTACAGCAATTTCTTCCAAAATGTTGTCTGGTACCTCTGGATAAGCCCACAGCGCTATACGAGCAACATCTGCTTCAAATTCTTGCAAATTCTCACTTGCTCGGTGGATTCTACTTCTTATTTGTACTTTGTAGACTTGTTGTATATTGGCATCTCCGTAACGTTTATCTAGTCGAGTGAACAAGGTCTGGAAACATTTTTCTTGACCCTTAGGAATCGATCTTAGGATATCCGCAGATCACCTCGTAAAGCAGTAGTTAAGCAAACAGCTTTTTCTTGTTCTGTCCAATGATTGGCTGTCTCAATAGCTTCAAATTTTCAAAGGTATATGGACCAAGAAGACTTTCCATCAACTGGTGGCAATTTAAATCGCATATGATATGTCGTTTCGTCTCTAGGTGATTCTTCTTCCACTACTGGATCTAAGGCTACTGTATTAACTGGTGTAGCACTTTTGTATTGGTTATCATGCTCTCTAACTGTTTGATCTTCTCTTCCACTTTATCGAATGTTTTAGAGACTTCTTCAAATTTCTTATTGTTCTGAATACATATTTCTTTAATTATTTGTGAAGTCTCGTCGAATCTTATAGATACATTTTCGAATGTTTTATCAAATGTTTTGGAAACGTTCTCTAATTTATTATCATGTATATATATATATATATATATATGTTTCTTCAATCATTTGTGAGACGTTTTTAAATCTTTTATCATTTTTTTTTAAGTTTCTTCAATCATTTGCGACCATTTTTTATTTTGGTTAAAAAACTGCTTCTTCTGATGACTGAAACTTTAATGTCTCTGGGTCTTCTCCATTTTTGTTGAGAACAGTCTTCAGTCGTTCTTGGAGTATCTTCTTGGACCCGCTGCATTCTTCATCGCGTTCTTCTAGTTGCTCACGCAACTGTTTTACTGAAAGTATACTAGCAGCATCTTTGGTCAGGCACACATGTATTTTTTAAATATTCTTTCGTACAAAGATCACTACCGAACTGCGCGGATGTTCCCGACGAACAATACTTTTCAAAAGTTCAAAAATCTTTTTCAAAAGTCACTACTGAATTTATTTTGCAATAAATTAATTATCCTCACACCGTGACACCAACTGTAGCGAGGTTAAATAAAACGAGCGGTTCGAATTGATATATAGTACTTGTTTACCGGGTAGGAAAAGCATAACATTCCTGGACGACTGTGAAGATTGCTAAGTCGAGGCGCAAGCCGAGACTTAGCAACACAGAGTCCAGGAATGTGGCTTTTCCTACGAGGTAAACATACTATTTTTCCGCAAATCGTTTAAAATTCGACAGATATTGATTGATTTAAAAAAAACGCGATAATTTTATTCCCAAATAAATGGTGCTTTGAAATTCCTAATAAAATTACTTGGGTTACTATGGAAACGTATTGAGGTTGAATTGTCAAACTGATGTAGAACACTAACAACTGTACGGAAATATAATTTCCTTACAGTAAGGAAGTCCTGACTTTTTCTTCAAGAAATTTTGACAGGAATGTCAAAATTTATAAGTTTACAATTCGGTAATATCTTAACAACTCAACTCATAACATCGTTACATATATGTACCAAAAGTATTATTCTAGAAAAAATTTATTTCAAATCCTTTATAAAAGGTATATAATAAAATGCCCAAACGGGCTATCACAAATATATTACAAAACGTTTTCGGATTGTTAAATCCATCATCAGTGTAAACGAGGTATACATGCTATGAGTCATCAAAATATATGGGTCAAAACCCTTTAAATGATATAAATTTACAGTTGTTTTACATTATATGTGATTACAAATTATGATGTTTAAGTTACCGTTGGAATTGGTAACATGGCGACGTATGACCCTACATAGGTAAAATGGTGGCTCATAGCATGTATACCTCGTTTACACTGATAATGGATTTAACAATCCGAAAACGTTTTGTAATATATTTGTGATAGCCCGTTTAGGCATTTTATTATATACATTTTATAAAGGATTTGAAATAAATTTTTTGTGATATATGGTATACAGCCAGCTACAGGAACTTAGTTTCCTAGTGGATTTTTATTATTCGAGAATCATCTTGAGTAGTCCCACCTCTAATTCGTTGTTTGATGGGTCGGTTTTGCCTGCGTTCGAGACATCTGTGGAAGGTTCTCGATGCCCTTTCGAGATGCAACCGTTACATGGATCAGTTGCTTCTGATGACATTACTCAAGTAAAATCTATACTAAATACTATTAAAAGTAAAAAAAAATTACAAGCAATTCTGTTGACTCTGACAATATTAGAATAGCTCGCTTTGGAAAGAAAAATAAAAATCGGCACCATTCACTTAAAGTATTCTTATCTTCAACTGAGGATGTTCATATAGTTCTTAAAAGTGTAGTATTAAGTATTTTTGAAAAATTTAAACGCAGAATGAACGATTACATTATTACCGAGATCCGAAAGCCCCTGAAAACTTCTATAATGTTTATTTTAGTAAGTTACAAGGGTAAAAAAAAAGAAAATTAAGTGCAATTTTTAATTTCAAATAACTCATTAAAAAAACTTTTTGTTTATTCTAAGGGACTTTCGACCCTCGGTAATAATGCAATCTTTCATTCTGCGTTTAAATTTTTCAAAAATTTTTATTAGTTTTCTCAGAATTAAAAAAAAATTGAATGCATTTAAAAAGCATTGGCCCGAAATTTTACGCCTACACTCTTAAACTGAACCAAAACATTGGCAGTGCTAAAAACATCTTTATCAACATTGATTAAACTCCTACTCAAAGGAAGGTATTTGAATCTGTAAAATCTGAGCTTTTGACTTGTCAGAAGGCAGGAGAATAGAACCTGTCAAAAAGATATAACAGTATCCTAACAATATTTCAAAAAACTTCTTAGCCACAATGACTTTGGCAAGCTCTCCATTTATTATCAAAATGTTATAGGACTTCTAACAGCTTGTTCGATGTGATTATATTATCTGAAACATGGTTAACAGCTGATATAAGCGATGCTGAATTTGGTTTACTTAATTATGATATCTACAAACAGGACCACATACAGGAATCCAGTAATTTCAACCAAGGAGGTGGTCTGCTAATAGTTGTTTAGAAAAAGTTTTCAACAAAATTTATCCCATCAGATGCTTCTCTCAAACAGGTATTTGTTCAATTTAAAAAACTTATTGGGAGCAGTATATATATTCCACCTAGATCCAGAATTAATCAATATTAATATGTTTTGGATGGTCTGCGCTGCGATTCATGTATCTTCTGGAGTGGTCAGCAATCACATCATTGATGAAGGGGATGTTGAGGTCTGCATGCAGGGTTTGGTTTGACACATACCCTGGGGCTTTAGCTAACATACAAATAGTTTTTGACTGGAATGTCTGCAGTATTTTGGTGTTGGATGGTTTGCTACAGCCCCACAGCTCAATTCCGTACGTTCACACTGGTTTGAGTATTGTTTTATAGATGGTTAGTTTGTTTTCTAATGAAAGTTGCGATCTTCTGTTGATTAGCCGGCTCATATTTTTAACTTTTAGGTCGAGGTGTCGTCGTTTGGCTGCAATATGTGATTTCCAAGTAAGTTTTTCGTCTAGATAAAGGCCCAGGTACTTTACTTCTGTCTTTATTGGTATAGGTGAATTATTTAGGTGTAGTTGTGGACATCTAATTTTTCGATTTGTAAAATTTACTTGACAAGACTTGTTTGTGTTGACATTTATTTTCCAGCATTTAAGTCAGTCTTCTAGTTCATTGAGATGATTTTGCAATTTGTTAAATGCTAATGTTTCATTGATATCTGATGCTAGTATACCAGTGTCATCCGCAAATGTTGCCATTAGTGTATTTTCGCTAATAGGAATATCAGCAGTGAAGATTTGGTAAAGGAATGGGCCAAGTACACTGCCTTGAGGTACTCCAGATTTTATTTGGTGGTAGTTAGATAGAGCACCTTCGTATTTAACTTGAAGTATCTGTCGGATAAGTATGATTTAAGGAGGAGGTAGATTTGGTCAGTTAGCTGAGTTTTTATTTTAAAGAGGAGACCCTCGTGCCACACTCTATCAAATGCTTGCTGTATATCGAGGAACGACAGATTTGTTTCATTTCTAGGCTCTCTTTTATTTTGTTGACTAATCTATGGTACTGTTGTATTGTTAAGTGATTTGAGCGAAAACAAAACTGATGATCTGGAATAAGGTTTTTTCATAGGTATTATTGTTTCTATTCTGTTAAGGATTAACCTTTCGAAGACTTTTTTTGCAGACACTTTGCAAACACTTGCACTTGCAAGTTTTTTTAAGGTTTGCCAAAATATACGAAGTATTTTTCGTAACGCTGTATTGATGAAAACTTGTAATTAGTGTACTGCGTGTACTGATACCTTCTATGTTTCACAGCCATGTTCTGGCTGGGATATATGGAACACATTAGTAGAAGAATTTGGGTCTATACACTAATACCGTGATAAAGCACAAATATACCGTTCAAATAAATAAAATCACACATTTGTTTCAAATAAATCGTTTTATTGTGATTATTAACATAAAAGTATAATTTTCTAAATATTTATAGATATAAAAATAGTTTTATTATTTTATTATATTATATTATATATATATATATATATATATATATATATATATATATATATATATATATATATATATATATATATATAATATTATCAATCAATATTTTTAATAATTTCTGTTGGTAAATACTTACGAAAGTCGTAGTATAACATCATCTGCCTATAAAAAAAAATTGAACAAACCAATTAATCCAATTGTGAAAATTAATTTACTAACAATAAATCAGTAAATATGAGTGGCTCTGACGCAAAGGTGCCTAACCCCAAAAATTTCTTTTACTGGATTAGGCTTAAGCGCTTATAATTTCTGTAAAAATCGTGTGCAGAATCAGCCTAAACTAAATTTTTGTTGGTATGGTGTCGGTCAGATAATTCAATCGACAAAAAAAAAAGAAACCCAAACTTCCAGGTCAAAAGAATGAACTCACTAGAGTTTTTTAGTAGCAAGTCCCTTGAGAATAAGATAACAAATAAAAAAGTTATTATAACTGGCGAAAAAGCGGAATGACTTAAAATCCAACAGATAAGGTAACTTAAAAATGAACCAAAAAACCGTAACCATGGTAAGTTTGAAACCATGAATGATTTGGAGCACGCAGTTCATGAATGGGAACAAATCCCTCAAGCAGATTTTGCTGCCTTAATCGGAAGCATGCCTGATCGAATGAGAGCCGTAATTAGGTCTTATGGAGGTAATACACTCTACTAAATATCGTTTCTCATAAAAAATGTTAATATTAAAAAAAAATTGTTTCTTTACAGATTTTTAAATATTTTGAATTGTTTATTGTGTTTTCTGTGTAACAATCTTGAGTTGTAATAAATTTGACTTTTAAATTTTGTTTATTATTTAATACTCAATTGGGAACATCTTAAACTTTTTTAAACGCCAGTTTAAAAAAGTAAATATATCCACTATTTTATTGCATCCAAGTAATTTTTTAATCGACCTTTTAGTTGTGTGCGGTCCGTTTGACTATGACAGAAATAAAAAGTAAATCAAATTTAATGTCATTATGTTAATATAGTTATATTTATATTTTATTATTATATTATTATAACAGTGGGATATTCTATTTGTTTATAAGCCAAAAAGTTGTTTATAATTTTAAAACATTCCTGGCCGTCCAAATAATCCGAGTTCAATCCCATCTTCTTCTTCTTCAGGTGCCATCTCCGCTATGGAGGTTGGCAATCATCATAGCTATCTTAATTTTTGAGGCAGTAGCTCTAAATAGTTGTTTTGAGCTGCATCCAAACCATTCTCTCAGGTTCTTCAGCCATGAAATTCGTCTTCTTCCGATGCTTCTTCTGCCATCTATTTTTCCTTGCATTATGAGTCGCAGGATGCCATACTTATCGCCCCGCATCACATGTCCGAGATACTGTAGCTTTCTTTCTTTAATTGTAAGTTCAATTTCCTTCTCTTTGCCTATTCTTCTCATTATTTCATTGTTTGTAACTCTATCTACCCAGGAAACCCTCATAATTCTTCTATAGGTCCACATTTCAAAGGCGTTAAGTCGTCTCATGGTATCTAGATTTAACGTCCATGATTCCACTCCATAATATAGTACACTGTATACGTAACATTTTGTTAGGCGTACTTTAAGAGCTAATGTTAGATCTTTGCCACATAGGACCTTTTTCATTTTTATAAAATTAGAACGTGCTTTTTCGATTCTGACTTTGATTTCTGCCGTGTAGTCATTATTTTCTGTTATAAGTGTTCCTAGGTAAGTGTACTTTTTTACTCTTTCGATCTGCTGGCCCTCTACTATCAAGATTTCGTTAGTATTATAGTTTCAATCGTTCAATCCCATAAAGTGCGTTAAATAGATGAAGTGCTTGTTGCAAGTAATCTAAGTGGATGAAAAACATTGAATAAAAAAAGTTTGTGTCCTCCTCTTTTTTTGTATTTATTACTATTTTTCAACAAGGGTAAATAAGTTAAAATATTTTTAATCAGCTGTATCTTATAGAAAATTTAATTGTCGGTATTTTATTTTATTACGACTTTGCTCAAAAATGAATTGTTGTCTAGAAAAAAAATCGATGTTTTCATTAATTTTTAAGGCTGTTTTAGCAGTTCAAGCACACTGCGATTTGAAATGGGCGTATCACTTACATTTCTACACTGCTTACGCGAGACTATCTTTACTCAGTGGCGTCGGCCAACGGGCAACAAATACATTACTCTCCATTCAAATTAGTTTTAACATGAACTAAATGACCGTACGCTCATGAGATTTGCAGTCACGAAGCCGATAACGGTGAACCTAAGCGACAATGATGAGTAACACGTTTCACTATTAGATTTTAGTATTTTTTAGCAATTTTCTTCAAAGTTTGAACACGCTTTTCTCGATTATTACGGGACACAGAAAGGTGAAAAAAATCAACGATTACAGAAAAAAACTCTTTCAATCGATGGGCGTAAAAAGTTTGGTTATAATAGAACGTTAAACAGTATAATCCAATTTTTCAACAGAAGTAACAAAAAAATAAAAAAAGTAAAACCATCATTTTAAAAGCAACATAGTTTCGAATATTGTGTCCAAATTTCGAGACATTTTGTCGGTAAATAACAGTTCCTAGGTTTTGGTGCACCGATAAAACAGCCTTAAATACACTTCTCCAAGAAATTAACGCACCACTTCAATAAATCAATTTTATTTGTAAACAGGCAAAGAATCAAAAATAAAACTTCACCAGATTTATTCTACATTTTATTAGTAATTATAACAATTTGTCTAATCATCAGAAAATGTTGAAGTACATACAGGAGAAAAAAAAAATAAAACGGAAAATTCTAAAAAAATAATGATAAGAAAAGTAAACTAAAATATGAAAAATTCTTAATAACGAGTGTTTCCACCTCTACTACGTATAACAGCCTCAAATCGTTGGCCCATACTTAAAATTAATTGCCGTATTTCATTTTGGTCTAGTTCTCTCCAAATCTGAATCAGCCTCTCTCCCACTTCCTGTAAGTTGTTTGGTTGGATCGGTGTCGCTCTTAATCGCCTACCAAGGATATCCCAGAGATTTTCAATCGGATTTAAATCTAAACTATGTGCTAGCCATTCCATAGTGTTAATTTCTACCTCTTCTAGATAATTTCTGACGATCTGTGCAGCGTGAGGTCTGGCATTATCTTGCATTAGTAAGACATTTTCACCGATATAAGGAGCGATTGGTGCTACATGTTGCTCCAGGATCTACTTTCAGCTGTAACAGTTCCATTTTGTATGACCACTAGGTCCGTACGTGCGGTCAAAGAAATACCACCCCAGACCATAATGGATCCTCCACCAAAAAATGTGGTGTGTGACAAGTTACACTGAGCTTATCGTTCGTTGGGTCGTCGCAACACACGAACACGTCTGTCGTCATTGTACAAACAAAATCGGGATTCATCAGTAAATAGCACTTGTTTCCAGTCAGCCTCTAACCAATTAACGTGTTCTCTGGCAAAATGTAGTCTCCCCCTTCGATGCTCTGCAGTTAATAGAGCCTGAGTTCCCAACCAGGGGGGCATGCCCCCCAAGGGGGGCATAGAGAGATGTCAAGGGGGGCGGAAGACGTTTGTGATTTTAGAAAGAAAAAAAATAATCAAACAACATTTACAAATTATATTACAATGTAATTTTTAATTTACACGGATAAAATTAATGAAATTAAATATGTCAACAACCGTTTCAAAACCCGACACCAACGTCGTCAATCGCAGTTTATATAAGTTTCGACAAGCCACTACATGAAATCCGCGCACAACCCCTCCGCACCGATTCCGCATAACGTTCATTAGGAATTAGGATTAGTTAGATCATAGGTAGATAGAAAATAGTTGAGTACCTACCGGACGTGCATGAGCATATGTGACATTCATTCACACTTTACGAAAAATTTGACGTTTCGGTATCAATTTGTTGCTGAGAAATTAGTTTGAGTGTGTATAATTATTGTGTTTCACTGTTAAAAGGTAAGTTTGTGTATTTACAAACTACAGTTGTCATTTTTATTAATTTACTAAATTATTGATTGAGCTAAGATGTGTTCGTAGATCGATCATTATATCTTTTTTAACACATTACAATCAAACCTACGTGGCGAATTAATTTTGAAACGTTAAATACATTACGTTATTAAGATAAATGGGCATTTATAAATAGTAATTACATGTAGGTATTTTGTTTGTTTATTTATTACTGTTTTATTGTTATAGGTTGCAAAATGGCAGCGAAAAAAAGAAAGTTTTCCGAAGATTATATTAAGTTTGGATTTACCTTCATAGAAAAAGACGAGTTACAGTTACCTCAGTGTGTGATATGTATGAAAGTTTTAAGTAATGATAGCATGAGGCCCAATCGCCTTGAAAGACATTTGAAGGTACAACATCCTACTCTGGTTTTGAAGACGCAAGAGTTTTTTTCTTCTAAAGCAGAATCACTCAAGCGGATGAGATTGGATAAATCGGGAAGTTATCACAAAGGTGTATCGCAGCATCTCAAAGCTTCATTTGAAATAGCATTTATTTAATTTTATTTTATAGAAGAATTAATAAAACCGTGTGTCCTAAAAGCCACGCAGATAATTTTAGGAGAAGATGCAGAGCAAAAAATGAAATCTATTTCTCTTTCGGATAATACAGTCAAGCGTAGAATCGATGACATTGCAGCAGACATAAAGTCACAAATAGTCAACAAAGTAAAATTATATAATTATATAACGGCACTATAATAAGCAATTATGATTATATTCAGGGGTTCATATCAAAACTTCAACTTTGGAATCAAAAAATCTCTTCTGAAAATGGTATGTCTTTTTCTCGGCTGTTCGAAGCAATTAAAAATAATATACTTGACGCAAATTTTAAAGCTGACATAAAAACTCATTTGCAAGCGCTGAAAGACGAATTTCGCCGATACTATCGAGACATCAATTCAGAGTCACCAATATGACGTATGACAAGTAATCCATTTGTTGTTGATGTGTTCCAATTACCAGAAGAAATTCAGGAACAATTTCTAGATATAATGGCTGACTCGTCCATGAAAGATGACTTCCATCTCTTGACATTGGAGAAACTTTGGATTAAAAGATTGCCTGTTAATTCGAAGGTTGCCTCTCTTGCTTTACGAATACTAGTTCCTTTTTCTTCAACTTACTTATGTGAGACAGGCTTTTCTGCTCTAGTTTTAATTAAAACTAAACAGCGAAATCGTCTTGATGTCGATAGCGACCTGATGATAGCTCTGGCAAAAACAGATCCTAGAATCAACCAAATAGTACAGAATATGCAATCTCAAGTGTCTCATTAATATTTACTTTGTTAAATTTAATTTTTTTGATAAAAAACATGTACTAGTTTAATTAAACTTTTAAAATTTGTTTATTAGAATTAAAATAAAATTTTAAGTATATAATGTGCGTTTTTTGTTGTATTTATTAAAAAAGTAAAGGGGGGCATGAAAATTTAATTTATAGTCCGGGGAGCCCCAACAAAGAAAAGGTTGGGAAACCCTGTAATAGAGGATCTAGGATGGCAATCCTAGGTGATAAGTTGTATTCCCTAAATCGCTGGTGAACAGTTTCAGTACTAATTTGTATAGCATGCACGTCTCGAAGCTGAATTTGTAGACTTCGATGTGTTACAAAACGTTGTCGAAGAGCAGAAATTCTTAAAAATTGATCTTGAATAAGGGTAGTTACCCGGTTTCGTCCTTGCCCAAGTCTGCTAGTATGATCCCCTATTTCGAGGAATCTTTTTAACACCCGTGAGACGGATGTGTGGGACACATTAAACCGACGACCAATTCTTCGGTAACTCCAACCTTCTTCCGACAGTATCACGCCGACGTGATTGACGCTCCATAATAAACACAATTAACAGTAATCAACAATTAAACGGTAGCCGAATAAAATTCGTGGACACTTGAAAATTAGTATATTTTTAGAAGTAGTACATTTTTTGCTTCTTTTTGTTTTGTTGCAAAAAAAAACTATAGCGATAAAACATAATCAATAAATATAGAGTGTACGAATAGCATATACAAGGGGCTTGCAAAATATAACATAACAATGGAAATTTTTATTAAAGCTAATAAAATATTTTAATATTACAAAGTGATGCGTTAATTTCTTGGAGAAGTGTATTTTATTTTTTCTGCGAAAATCCGAATGCCACCTTTAACATTCAAGTCAAATCAGATCCGCCTTGGTCTATGCTTAACCTTATCGTGTTCACTGTGATATTGTTTATAGTATCCTAATTTTTTATTCGCTAAAATTTGTAATTAGTATTTATATGGCAGAATGAATTGGTACCAGAAGAGTGGCTAAATGGAATAATATATCCGTTGTATAAAAAGGGTGATCTACTCTAATGTAAAAGCTAAAAAGGCATTACTCTGTTAGCATCTGCGTATAAAATCTTCGCCAATGTATTATTTGAAAAACTTAAACATTTTACAAAGGATATCGTTGGTCAATATCAATGCTGATTTACTGCTGGAAAGTTAACTACACATCAAATTCAAGCACATAGGCAGATTCTAGAAAAGTCACTAGAATACAACATAGATACACACCATCTCTGCATCGACTTTAAAGCAGCCAATGACAGTGTGAAAAGAACTGCATTATATAATGTAATGATAGAGACTTTGGGATCACACCTAGTCTAAGACAAGGGGACGCGCTGGTGTGCCTCCTCTTTAATATTGCCTAGGAAAAGCCAATCAGACAATTAAATATTAGAATAAATGGAACTATTTTTTAATAGATCGACGCAAATTCTCGCATTCGCTGACCATACAGTTATAGGGGGCAGAAGTAGGAGATACATGGTGCAGTGTTTTACAAGGTTTGTGGACGAGGCAAGTAAATTAGGAATTGTGGTAAACGAGGAAAAAACCAAATATATGTTGGCTTCTAAAAACACCCGAAATATCCAACAGATAATTCAAATTAACAACCATACCTTTGAGCAAGTCAAAGAATTTACATATCTTGGATCGCTAGTAAACGCAACAAACACGACAAGCGACGAAATAAAAAGACGGATAGCAATAGCAAACAGAACTGTTCACGGTCTCCAGAAACATTTAAAAATAAAAATATAAAAGATGCAGTAAAGCTCAATATATACAATACCTTAATAAGACCAGTTTTGATATATATTGCTAAAACGTGGACATTATCTCTTCTTTTTCTTCTTCCTTCTGGTATGTAGGCTTTAAAGCCTGTTTCTTCTTCAATATTAGCCTCCTTAATTGTCTAAATTGTCGCACCATCTTTTTCTTTATCTCAAACAATTATCTCAAAATGATGAAAAACTTAATGTTGTGTCCGTACACACTTTGTAGATATCTTGACTATCTTGGTTGATGTCTTTAGGATTGAAATGCCATTATAAATCTAACCTTTTAGGTGCTACTATTGTTCTTTTGGAACGGCGCAAAGGAACATCTGAGCAAGGCGAGGAAATGATACTTGAATCACCTTGACTATGAGAAGGTAATCTATTGGCATCCATTCATTCTGATTGTACCTCAGGTATATCGGTATTATCACCATTTGGAATTGACTCACAAGCAGCTGTTTGTTTCTCGATATATTCATTTGTAACTGTGGGCACATAAGGCATAACATTATTTTCAGACTGTAATGGTGTATTTTCCCCTATAGCTCTTAACTGGTCAATGTGTCGTTTCCAATACTGGCTATCATCTAATTTGATTATATAGTGCAGCTTTCCCAGTTTGGTATTTTTGAGAGAAAAATTCTTAGAAAAGTTTTTGAAACCGTAAAGGAAAATGGGCTATGGCGTCGAAGATACAACTTTGAACTATATTAGTTATACACCGATCCAGATATTATGAAATTCGTTAAAGTGCAGAGACTTAGATGGGCTGGACACATTGCTAGGTTGTCGAATCCTAGCACGAAGAGATTAACATTTTCAAAATCAGAAGATAAAAGAAGTAGAGGACGGCCACGAAGGAGATGGATTGATGACATGGAAGAAGACCTAAAGCTTCTAAGGGTCAGAAGATGAAGGGAAGTTGCCAGGAATCGACAGGAGTGGCGATTTCTTTGTGAGCAGGCTAAGATCCACAACCGATTGTTGAGCCACTTATGATGATGATTTGGAATAATACAAATAATACAGTATCAATTTTTGTAGCGGTGCAATAATTTTGAACACAGCTATATTATGAAAGAAAACACATCTAGGTTTTGTTTTAATCCTTCAGTGATGGCTAAAGACAATACCTCTGTAAATAATAAAAACTTGTCTGATATCAAATAGCTTCTTTACTGGCATTTTAGGTCTAACTGGCGGTGTTAGCAACGCAAATACGCGGACGGACAGGCAGACCGCACAAACTAAATGATCAAATTTTTGTAAATACTTTTATTTGGATCCAGTAATATAGAGATCGTCCCGTTAAAACTCTCAAAACATATATTCTTTGTCCGCATTTTTTAGGAAAAATTTTATATTTTCTTACCAATTCAAAGAACATATGATGCACTTGAAACAACATTTGCTGATACGGGCTCATATCCGCTTCTGGATATATAACATGTAGATGCAGGTGATCTACAGTAGTATATGGTGGACAATGGAAACCTATTCTGGCGTCTTCACTATTGCCATTTTTTAGCTCTAGGACTCTTTTACCAACCTCCAACATTCTTTCCACTAAATAAATAAAAATATTAGATAACTACCAGAATTTCATATAAAAGATAAGTAATTTAATGTTTATTTATTAACCCTTTCACGGATAAGCATGTACTAGTCGTCAAAGAATTTTAATCATTGTGAAACAAGACCAGAGCCGGCTGTTTATAACACAGTATTTATTAAAATGTGACGTCATCCTAAAAAATAAACTTTGTGTTTGTGGGATTTAAAAAGTAAGAAATATGGATGTTCTTCTTAGTTCAGTTGCGAGAGTTGTTAATCTCTGACAGTTGGTTATAAGACCTTTGTACCATACCCTGTAGTATATATATAGTATATATATGTATATATATATATATATATATATATATATATATATATATATATATATATATATATATATAACATATCTCAGGGTTAAAATTAAGCTAGAAGAAAACAGTCCTTATATATCACAGTGAGAAGTAGAAAAGACCATTCAAAGAATAAAAAATCCAGGTCCTCATAATATACATAGGTCCATAGAGAAATCATTAAATTACTTAAAGAAAACTATATTGACCTAACGCTATATGTTTAACACTGTTTACCAGACAGAGAATTTCCCAAATTGACTTCAATTTACCGCTAGTACCATTAGCGAAAAAATATCTCTCAACAAGTGTGAAGAATATAGAGCCATTACTTTCATGAGACATATACTAAAAATCTTCCTATACATTACACATGATAGAATATATCAAATTAGAGTTAGAACAAACAAAGAGTTAAGTGATGAGTGAGCAAGTCCAAAGAGCTAGTGATTCTGCTTTCTAGATGAATTTAAAAAACTTCGACAAAGTACACCACAACAAATTCAATGATATTCTTAGAAAGGTATGTATTAAAGATAATAGCCTGGGGACATTATCAGAAATTTATATGTGCCACAAAAAGACACTGCTAAAGGGAATAACAAGTATTCCCAAAAATTCAATATCCTGAGTGAAGCTGGGCAGAGACATGTTTTGTCATCTCTATAATTTAATATTTTGATGAACATTCATTTAGAGAAATAATCCTGCAGAAACTGAAGACGGGCTTGGTGAATGGAATATTTATGATTTGATGAATAATAATTTACTAAAAATGACAGACTTTGAAGTGTGGTATTATTACAGGATGCTGTGTATCTGTCACATGGATCGACTTATCAATCAAATATGTTTCAAAGAATAAATCAAGGCCAAAAATTATCAGCACAATTTTGCAGAAAATTGGCATGACTATATATGTAATGAGAAACAATAAGTGCCACTTTCTTAGGCTTACAATGCAGATTACATTAAAGGGGGGACCAGGAGACAAGTAATCTAATAGCTGAAAAATATAAGAGACTGGTCTGCCAACCCTTATTAGAATTGTACAGAATCACTCTCAAGTGAATAGAATATTAGAAAAGCAAGTGGTTTTTAGACATAACAGGTGACAAACATCTTCATCCTATGAAGGATAATAGAAAAACCAATAAAAGGGGGAGATTACTTAATTATTTGTCACATTCATACATTTAAGTCTATGGAAATGTCATATCTACTATTATATCAGGGGTATAGTATCAAAAATGGCTATGTCCATAATTTTTAGAAATTGACATTTTGATGGCAACATTTTCATTTTGAGACAGCCTATTACCTAAAGAAATAGTTTGGGATTAAATTTAGCTTAGTCCAGAGAAATTTTGATTAAAAAAAATTGGTTGGAAACAAACTTGGTTACGTCCACATAAACTCAGTATCAAACATAGCTACGCGCACGCCAGCCAATAGGAGCTCTTCATTCGAACCAAATCTGTAATGGCCACTAATATAATTTATGTGTTGTTACGGTGTAAGTTTTTCGCATTTTAAATAAGAATTCCTGTGATTTCAAGTAAAATCTATAGTTTTTTGTCAAGATGGATGTTTTTCCTATGCCCGTTAATCAAAACCAGGCACGAAACGGATTGCACAGCCACAAAAGTGGAAGGCTAACAAGGCGAAAAAAGAGAGGTAAATTCGTTCTTTTGCCAGGCCCGTACCGCAGGTCAGATTTAGGTATAGTCGAACCCTCATATTGAAATAGCCATCGTGCCAAGCAAAAGTATTCCTATAATCGGGATTTTCTAACAACCGACTATTGGTGGCTAGTAGAATCGTTTCGGGACCTCAAATTTCTATTCCTTAAACCATGATATTCCTAAATAACCAGTATTCTTCTTCTAATAAGCGGGTTCGACTGTATAAGCTAGTGATGGGTATAATTTCTAAAGCCACGTATCCATTTCGCGAGGCTACCACGCGCGTCATGTTCGTTGTCGTTACCGCCGAAAGTGGACACCACACTGTTACGTGAGGCAAAGCCATAAAGCGTTTGCAAAACTGTTATAATTATTGAACGTGAGCTAGGCCGCGCGCGGCAGCCTCGTGAAATGGATACGTGGCTTTAGAATGAAGAATTTTTCGAGTAATACCGAGAACCCTATTCGCTTTTAATGCTGATTAAAAATAAATACTGTTTTATATTCATCAATGATTCCTGATTTGTTCCTGAAGTACCGAGAACCAAGAACCTTATTCGCTTTTAAAGTTGATTAAAAAATAAATACTGTTTTAAATTCATCAATAATTCCTGATTTGTTTAATGTTTACATTCGTTATTGGCTCTCACACTCACTGAAATGTGTTTACAGAAATGTGATATTTTCTGAATTTGATAATCTTGAGAATAAGCACATTTTCTTTGTTGAATGAGGAATCCTATTAAAAAAATTAGTATCAGTTGTGCAGTTGTATTGCGTTTTTTTTGTATCCCAAAAAATATTCATTACGTTAGTTTATTATATTCTTTGACCTCCAAAAAGATTTGTTTATAAAACTAACTTATAGCGACGGCTTCCTCAGTCAGTATTCTAATACTTTGTTTGATTTAAGTGTTCGAGATATCTTGAGAACTTTCAGGAATCGAATACTCGTCGATTCTTGGTATTTGAGAACCCCACCACTAGAATAATGTATGACTAATATCGTTGGATGTTTAGATGAGCTCTTTTAGTTTGCGACTTATGCTACCATGGGGCTAAAAACAATTCAGAGTAGAAAAAACAGTTCATAGGTTGAGGGAAAAAGCTTTCTATTCGCTGCTCAAGACAGAAGAAGAGGGTTTGAAAATAATTTCTTATGATTGCCAAAAAAACATGAATCTTCCTAAAGTACCAGATCAATCGTGTTATTATAGCAGGCAATTATATCTTTTTAATTTCACTATTGTGGAAGGAACTTCAAAGACACCACTTAATAAAAACAACGTTTTCGCAAATGTCTGGACAGAGAACACTTTCTCAAAAAATTCTAAAACAATAGCATCTGCAGTGTATAACCACCTAAACAAGATGGATCTTACCAATATAACTACCATTAGACTGATCTCAGACGGCTGCGGGGGTCAGAATAAAAATTCCACCATAATCACAATGTGTTGCAAATGGTTGTTGGAACATTCTTCTATTAAAACAGTAGAACTGGTGTTTCCAGTAACTGGCCATTCCTATCTTCCAGCAGATAGAGTGTTCGGAAACAGTGAAAAGGGATTTCGTAAAATGGACACAATACTAAGCCCGAATCAATACATCGATATCATTTCACAGCAGGCAACTATTGTAAAAGTAGGCGAAGATTTCATTGTATATGATTTCAAAAAGGAAGCTGAAACAATACTGAAACCCCCGGACAGTGGAAAGTACAGTTTGCGCAGTGTAAAAGATTCTATTTAAAACGATCGAAGCGGATCGGAAATGTGTTGGTTCAGTCGGAGAGATTTTACAGGAATCAATCGGGAAAATATGAAAATGTTTGTCGGAAATCTAAAATTATGAGTATGATTGCTCCTAAAAAAATAATACAACACATACCTGTAAAGGCATTAAAAGTAAGGGACGTTAAAAATCTGCTATCAAAACATTTTGGAGACGACTGGCAAGGCCTGGAACAATTAAGTTTCTATTCAGATGTGATAAACATTGCTGAAACTCTGGCTGAGAACGAAAATGACAATGAAGAATTGGAATGTGAACCAAGAGAAGAAACACCGCTTTTGTTGATATAATATTGTTAAAGTGATGATTTGTACTGAAACAAATATGTTAGAGATTTTTTTTTAGTTTTATCTTTTAACTATAGTTGTGTTGCTTTATAATGTTAGCCTGTAAGAAATATACATACCTAAAAAAATAAATAAAAAAAACCTAATTTTTGTACATAAATAGTTGACCAGCTGAAGAGTGACACGTGATGCTAGTGATACATGATACAAGGCGCGAGGAAACCTCATAAAAATAATGTTCATGATACGCAGTATTTTGACACATTGTACTGAGTCCGGCCGGCGAGATTACGTTGGAATCAAACTTGGTCAAGTCCTGTGAAGTTGGTATCAAACATGGCTATGTGCATCGCTTGGGATCAAAACAGGTTACGTCCAATAGTTTCTATCAATTCAGCGTATTTCCTGCTCTTGTAGTATGCTGAATGTAATATCAATATAAAGAGTGACTTTTCTTTCATTGTTTTAACAGTAATTCTCAAATTTTAGTTGCTGCCATCAAAAGTGAGAGTGTTTTTTTACTTCCTGTCAAATCATGCACGATGGACGTAGCCAGATTTGATCCTATACCCCTGATAGATATTATTTATCTATGGTCATATCAAAATGACAGTGACAGGTACTTGCAACACTACTCAAAATAATTACAAGCACATGAAAGAGTCAAATAACAAATAAATAACAAAGGATAGAAAAGAGTAAAAGGGAGAAGGGCGCCTAAAAAGGCATTGTAAATGATATGAGATGAAGACGAAAAATAATAAGTATCTATATAATTTTTTATATTAATACAAAGCTTTGAGCTGATTTTCAAAAATCTAATGTAATGACTTACCTAGAAGTTTATCTTCATTTGTTTTTAAACTGTTTATATTAGGAATATGTTTCTTGGGTACAACCATAAAGTGAATGCTGGATGCAGGTTTAATGTCAAGAAATACGATTAACTCTTCATTTTGAAATAATACTTCTGCAGGCGCATCTCCAGATATAATTTTACAGAAAATGCATTTAAAATCTGTTGTCATAGTAATAAATACCAAAATTATTTAGGAATGTGATAATTAAAAATTTAATAATATAGAATTATAACTGCCTTTTTCACATATATTGTTATAAATCGATATGTATTAAAAATTAAACCAAATATCAATTGAAAAATAGGTCCTTAGGACAATGAAAGTTCATTGTCTAAGGAAGAGTTTTTATTATCTAATTTTGCTGATGATTATCATTGTAGATTTGGTTTTTCCATGAAACGTATTTTCCAGTCCTTGACTAATCTCATTTTTATTCACTGATTGTGTATGTACGTATGTGTGGTGTGGAGAAGTTTGGTTTCGAACTATGCTCATTAGCCACACATCTTGTTAATGAAATATTACTCATGGTATCTCTACTTTTACTTATATCTATGATATTACTGTACTGACTTAGACTTAAATGTATAAAACCGCTGGTATTATTAGAGAATAAGCTATATGCAATAGCGTCTAATATAAATTAGTTTCCTTAAATATTATATTTTATGTCTAAATTCTTTATAGACCCGATTTAAATAAAAATTTGATGTCCATGATCTCTAAGATCACTAATCTTGTTTCACAAACAAGATAAGAAACAATAACGAGGATTGAGCGATGAGGATGATTAATAATAGAAACAAAAACAAATATTGTCATAATTTACAAGTGGCAACATTGAAACATATGGCCTCCATCATTGTCACATGTCACATTGTCTAATGACAGTATGACAGTGACAGAAATAAAAAACAAAACGTCAAGTCAAACTAAAAATTTTTCAGATAAACAAAAAGAATGTAATTTTATGAGTCATTTAAAAAATTTACCATGGGTACTATCAAAAATGTGATAGTTGTATTTTTAACTCTACAAATATTTGTTGTAACATGTAGCGACATTACAAAACTTGCTTTTGGCCAATTTACCCATGGACTTCCAGCAGCTTTTGGAGACTTTAACTCTGATGAACTTACAGATGTGTTTGTGTTAACTAATAAAGAACAAACACTCCAGATTCTTCTAGCTTATGCAGAAGAACCGTTGCTTCGACCAGCACCTACTCTTAATTGCACGTTTAAAAACCACAAGATCACCAGTGTTGTACCAGGTAAAAATTTAAAAGTTCATTTAGTTACTGTAATCTCCTGTTTGTTATTCATTAAAGATGTATGTTTGATTGAAATGTGAAATGGAGTTGTGCCAAGCATGTGGCAAAATTATCAAAATAGATGTGCATGTAGAGTAACAGATTAGAAAACAAAGAAACAAAAATGTGTAATAGATGCAGGCCCCAGAAATGATGAGTAGATGAAATCTGAACTACAACAGAGAAAAAAATGGATATGTAAGGCTTATGAGATTATTAGATAAATTTGTGTGAGACCAATGTCCAAGGGTGGATGGATATGGATTTAAAAAAAGACTTTAAATAGTGTGTTTTTGTGTTATAATATATAAATATAGGCCTTTCGGGCCCATAGGTTAGAGGTGGTCAAGTCTCCTTCACATCCATTTCACAATAAAATCAAGCCCTTTGTTATCTTTGGTATTATAAAGTGTAAAATTTGCAGTGCCAACTGTAAGGACTGTAAGTCCTTAGAAAATACTGTGTGTTAATATTTAGTATATTTCACATATTAAAATCAAATGCCAATCAAATTGATTTTGTATGTTTTCATTTTTGTATCCAATACAGACATTGCAACAATCTTTTTTAGGGAACCAGGTATATTGCTTTCTGTGTAGTGATTTACTGTCATTGAGAAAGTTGTAGAATTACTGTGTTTACAGATTAGGATGACAGAATTTACCATATTATTTTCATCCACTGTTGTTTTTAGGTGATTTTGATGGAGATGCCTTGATGGATGTGTTAATAACTACTATTAGAACTGATACCTGGATTAACAATGCGAGAACAAGTATTTATATTCTATGGGGAGGTAATACTACCTTCAATTGTCCAGAGATTGAAGAGAATCCATTTATTGAAATGTTAGGTCAACCATTGGCAATTGATTATAATCAAGATATGATCATTGATTTGTTTGGAGAAGACACCGAAAAACAAAGAGCCTTCTGGGTTTTTGATAAAAACAGAACTGAGCCTAAGAAAGTGTTGATGAAGCACCATAATAAAGAACCAATGCCAGAACTCATGAAGCCCCATGCTCATGCATTTTTAGGTAATCAAACAATGATATGCAATTCTACTTAGGCTTATACAAATATATGTCCAACCTAAATATAATTTATGGTGAGCAAATTAGTTAAATTAATTTTCATTTATTTGTTTTCAGATCTTAATGATGACTATATGGCAGATTTGTTCATAACTACAGTAGAGAATTTTGAGATATGGCTAGGTAGAGAAGAGTCAAATCCAAAGAAATCCAAATTTGATCATAGTATTAAAATTGATCATCCCATCAATCCTAAAACTGGGAAAAAGGCGCTTATAATAGGCCAGTCTCTTTTTGTTGATGTTGAATTAAAAGGAAAAGTTGATTTAGTAACACCTGTTTGTTATGACTGGAGCTGTCAGAATGGTGCTTTGTTGATTTATTCAAACACAGAACGAAAATGGATTGATTTGCAGGTAAGAAAATGTTGATGTGTGATGTAATAAAAATTGCCTAATTCTAAAAACAAAATATATCTTATAAATTACAAAATTACGAAATATTTTCCATTATGTTCCAAATTTTTTTATCTTAGAATCAGTTTATAAACTGCACAACAACAAACAGAAAAGAAGACATTATTTTTTCTATATGTTGGAATAAATCCACTTAAATATATAAAACTATTAAAAAATATTTTTTATTGGGTAATTGTTGCAAAACATAAATATATAAATGACAACAGTGTTATTGTTCCATATGCATAAGAGACATATCTAGTATCAAAGAGACGTCAGGCATTGCCCCCTAAATAGCTGAGCGATTTAAGACAGGCATGAAGCAACAATGTTGTACACACTTTTCTAACCTCCTAGATGGTCGTATTTATTGAGGCGATTAGGTTAATTTAGACCACTAAGTATCTAATAAAAATAAAACTACACATACGAATATGACATGCAAGTGATAAACCCCCCTGAAAAATACACAAATGGTAAAAAGATATCAGCAGGAGATCAATGATTTTATAACCACCATGGATACAAAGGGCGAGCCCACCATAAACAAGGGATGCATGTAAAGAAATCGCAATGTATACATCAAATCAGAGTAGGAAGGGAAGGGTTGTCTAAAAGCACTGATATGCATACAAGCTTATGCAACAAAGCAACACTGTTCAGTGAAAATGAAAAAATCAACTGTTGAATATTGTTGTTGTTTGTTTGTGTTTAAATGACTGCAGACACTAAATCCATTCGCCAATCTTACAATTTGAGGTGTAGTGTGTGTGTGTGTGTGTGTGTGTGTGTGTGTGTGTGTGTGTGTGTGTGTGTGTGTAGAGTAATTGTCTTGATACTTAGCAAAGTCGACGTCATTGTCTTTGCTAAGAGACGCTAATTGTATGTTGAATATTATATGAAGCTTAGAAGGGATCAGAAACAATGTTCACATGAGAAATAAAGTAAGTTTAAGACTAAAATGCTTGAAGAACTGGAAGCCCTAAGAAATCAAAATGTGACAAGAAACTTTTATAGAATTTATAGAAAGATCAATAGTACAAGAAAATAATTTAAACCAAGATTACAACTGTGCAGGGAGAATAAAGAAAATAGCTAATAGCTAATATGAGAAAATACTTATGGGACTGACGGAACCTTTTAAGAATTTGCTTTGCACTGATGATAATGCTCTAGATGTGCATAACTGAGAAGTCGATCCACCCACCATATGGGAAACTAATTAGACAATCCACTTAAGAACAGCAAAGCGCCAGAAAATGATGAAATTCTCTTAAAACTCGACAAATATGGAATAGAACACTTAACAAACACAATATACAAAGTAATAGGAAGAATATGAGAAAATCAAATGTCAAGAATGGAATATCAGTGCCAATTACACAAAAAAGGCCATCAACTTGAATGTGGGAATTACAGAGGGATAACACTCTTGAATAAAATATATAAAATACTATCTATCTATAGCTCAAAATCTATACTTGTGTTGAATATAGGCCTTTCCCATTTGTCTCTATTTGTCTTTTCCACATTGGACCTGCGCCTTGCTCAATGTCATCTTTTTGCCATCTCATTTGCGGTCAACCTCTTGACCTTTTTGCAGTATATGGTCTCCAACGGCCAATTTCTTTATTCCATCTTCCATCTTGATATCTTTCGTTATGCCCAGCCCATTTCCATTTTAATTGTAATGCATGTTCGACAGCATCTGTTGTTTTGGTTTTGCATCTTATCCACTCGTTCCTCTTTTTATCTCTCAACGATATTCCCAACATTTGTCTTTCCATAGCTCTTTGGGTTTTCTTTATTTTATGTAAGTTGCTCTTGATACATGTCCACGTCTGGGCACCATATATCAGAACAGGTAGGATGCATGCATTAAAAACCTTTGTTCTTAATTTTAAAGGTTTTTTTGGTTTTTGATAGTATATGAGAGTTTTCCGAAATATAAAATACTCTCTAACATAATTTACACATGACAGTGGATTCTGGGTAAATATCAAAGTAGATTCAGACCTGGTCAGTCCACAGTAGAACAGATATTCATATTAAGACTCACCCTTTAAACCTTGGGAACTATAATTTTAAAAGTTTTTATTAATAGAGCGTTGCGAAAAATCCATTGTATATTTTGACTTAATTGAATATCAAATGAAAATTGATGGAACCAAACCAACCAAAAAAATGTCACAAGACGAAGAAAATGGAGATGGATAGGCTACGAACTTCATAGATCTCCAGTTAACATTGCCAGTACAGCGCTGGATTGGAATTCTCAAGGCCAAGGGAAAGTAAGCAGACCTAAAAAACTTGGAAAAGGATAGTACTGGGGAAAGAAATGGGAAAATCCTGGCTTGAAATTAAAGCACTACCCAGAAATAGAGTTTGCTGGAGACACTTCGTAAAAGCCCTGTGTTCCTCTTAAAAATCTCGGGAGTAGATATATATATATATATATATATATATATATATATATATATATATATATATATATATATATTATATATATATATATATATATATATATATATATATAACCATAATTTTGAAGTACTTAGTGCAACAGTTTACTTACCTGGGAAGCATGCTTAACACCAAAGAATAACGCTCACAAACAAAAATTATTATTTATTTATTTAGACACCTTACGAACACTATAAATTAATAGTAATTAAATGTAAAGTGTTTAAGACAAAAAAAAACAATAAATAAAAGAAACATACATTAATAATACAATAAGAAAAAAATACAATAAACCCCTTAAACCTAGTACTGATGAGCTAGCAATGTCTTAAGTTCACAGCTTTTGCCATTAAAATTATTCACATGAGTCAGTCTATTAAATACTTCGTTAGAAATTTTTAACATATTGTTTATTGTTGATATGTTTCTATAGTAATTTATAAAGAATAGATCTAAGTTAGTTATCCTTAACTTGGGTACTCTAAAAGTAAATAAACTCAATTAAACCACAGTTTGTGTACTTAATACTGTTAACAACAATCAAGTATATGAACATAATGGCCTGACTGTTTCTTCTAGTGGCAAGTGACTGCAACTGAAATGAGTCTAACATTACCCCATATGAGATTACATATTGATATTTCTTATTTTTACTTACATATAAAAATCTTAAAAATCGTTTTTGCACTCTTTTAATCATTTCTGAGTTTGAAAATGCAGTAGGAGACCAGATGATTGAAGCATATTCTATATATGGTCTCACCAGGGATTATAATTTTATAAATGTGCTTATTCTGAAATTTTTGCTATTTCTAATAACAAAACCCGAAGCATGATAAGCTCTATTAGTTATTTCATAAAAGTGTATATTGAACTTCATGCTGATTTGGAATTTAATTCTAAGATCCTTCATATGAAACTACTGTTTTGCGTATATGAAACTACTGCGCACTTTTAAACATTAAGTCATTTTTAAATTGTTAAACCATTGAATAACTGATCTTAGATCATCTTGCAATTTAACTGCATCTTTCTTATTAGAGATTGTTTTAAAAAGTTTAAAATCATCGGAATACATTAAGCTGTTACAAGATTTATTAGAGTCTGGCAAGTCATTAATAAATAAAATAAAGAGAAATGGTCCTAGTTTGCTCGCCTGTGGGACTCTTGAGGATGACACATATTGGCGAGAAAAGCAATTACCTACTTTTACTGTATTCTTTCTATCTGACAAATAAGATTTTAATAAATTAAAAGCTTTTCTTGAGAAACCAAACTGTACCAGTTTATTTAAAAGAATACAGTGATTTACCTTATCAAATGCTTTTTCATAATCAGTATACAGAATGTCCAACTGTTCCCCTGCCTCAATAGTCTTAGCAACATGTTCAGAGAGAATACAGAGATTAGTTACTGTTGATTTGTCTCTTACAAAACGATGCTGGAATTTGCTGATTTTACTCTTAACATGCTCATATATATCATCACAAAGCATACTTTCAAAAATCTTTCTTAGCAATACTACACTCACCGGCAAAATTAACGGAACACCTTAAAATTGGGACGTGTTAGATGTCTCGAATTTCCTAAACCTATTGTCCGATTTTAGTGATTTTTTTAGTATGTTATAGGTATATTATTTAAGAATATCGATGTAATAATATTGTTGCTAGACAGGTCAATGTCATTTTATACCGGGTGTAACAATCCTACTGTGTTTTTTCCTTAAAGTTCGGAACACCCTGTGGAATATTCTAGCATATATAAAATATTGAAATTAAAACTTAATTATAACCTCAGGCTTTCTTAACATTTTCTTTTTTGATTCATTTGCTTATGTTTGATAATAAAAAAGTTAGGTACGTTAACAACTAGCTATGTTTTTCATTAATAAATCCTAATTTTCTGCTTAGTTTAATAAACAAGCCTAAAGTAGGCTATAAGAAGTTAACAATTTAGTACACACACCGGCAAATTTAAAGGAACCTGTTATTAATGCAATATTTCTTTATATTTGTATTTTATAGACTATATCTACATAGCTTTGAAAGCTCCTTGTCACAAGAAAGTCTTAAATGTCAAATTAATTTGTTTATTTGTATTGTGTTTTACATTTTACAGTCATTCTGTCTGTTCATAACAAGTACAAACTTGTATTTAATTGAGCGCATAGTAAGAAAGAGACTTAAAAAAGCCGGTCTCAAGTCATATGTGCCAATAAAAGCTCCCAGACTCCAGAGACACCATCATTTATCATGACTACAATTTGGTCGAGTACATCAAAATTGGAATGATAACCACTGGAGTCAAATTCTCTTTACGGACGAGAGCCGTTTCTGTGTAAATTACATCGACGGTAGAGAAAGATTGTATCAACGTCAAGGAGAACGAAATGCCCCTTTCAATTTTACTACGACCGTACCTTTTGGTGGAGGTTCAATTATGGTGTGGGGCGGTATATGTTTGGGAGCAATAACAGAGTTAGTGGTGATTGACGATGGAGCATTAACAGCAGATAAGTATATCAGAGATATTCTCCAAGACCATGTGGTACCTTTTTCACCATATATTGGCGAAAATTTTATTTTAATGCAGGATAATGCGAGCCCACACGTCGCAGACTGTGTAAGATATTTCTTATTACAAGTGGGTATAACAACGATGAATTGGCCAGCTTGTTCCCCAGACCTAAACCCGATAGAGGATATGTGGGACATGCTAGACAGAAAACTTAGGACACGGGTTCCTGCTATTCAAAACAGAGAGGAAGTCACTCGTAGGGGAAACACACGCTATTAAATCCAAAAAAATGCATAAAAAACCAATTTAAGTTCAAACTGTACAATAAAGTTAATGCGTTTAAAATCTGTATTTTGTTGAGTCTGACATCTTTGTGTTTTATTTCTTCTTAAACAGGTTTTATATTGTACTACCATTGTAATATAAATTCAAAATACTTCACCAACATTCGTATTATGATATTATCTAAACAGTATATAGACTAGAGAGAAAATACTCAGATTGTATGGTTGTTCCTTTAAATATGCTGGTGAAACTAAGAAGAAAATGAGCATTTATTGATGAAAAACATGGCTAGTTGTTAACGTACCTAACTTTTTTATTATCCAACACAAGCAAATGAATCAAAAAAGAAAATGTTAAGAAAGCCTGATACTATAATTGAGCTTTAATTTCAATATTTTATATATGCTAGAATATTCCACAGGGTGTTTCGAACTTTAAGGAAAAAACACAGTATGATTGTTACACCCGGTATAAAATGACATTGACCTGTCTAGCAACAATATTATTTCATTAATATTCTTAAATAATATACCTATAACATACTAAAAAAATCACTAAAATCGGACAACAGGTTTAGGAAATTCGAGTCATCTAACATGTCCCATTTTTAAGGTGTTCCGTTAATTTTGCCGGTGAGTGTATTTAACAGGTTGATAGGCCTGTAGTTTTGAATGTCCTTTTTTATATCTTTTTTACGTATTGGAGAAATTTTGGCCACTTTTAAAATATCTGGAAAATATTCCTGTTCAATTGACATATTAAACAAAAACGACAGAGGTTTAGCCAAGGGTTCGGCAATTCCCTTATAGATATAGGGTGGTATTTCATCAGGGCCTGTAGATTTTTTGGGTAAGTTTTTTAATACTATTTACAACATCTAATTCTGTGATATATTGAAAGGTAAAAGAACTCCACTCAGTATTTTGAGAATGACAATGTGTGCAGTCAGATGTATCATACACTGATGCAAAATATTTAGCAGAGGCACTCGCAATATCAAAAGGTGCATTAAACTTGGAGTTGTTTAATGTCATTTCTATGGGAATTCTACTATTCTTATATTTTGACTTAAAGAAAGTCCAGAATTTGTTTGGGTCAGCAAGTAGATGGTTTTCAAGTGAATGTTTGTATAAGATATGCTCATGTTTGGTTAGGTTAGGTTAGGTTAGGTGTGGATAAGGATTCCAGGAAAATCAGTGTGGCAAACTTGCACCAAGCTATGACCGAATCAAGAAATAAACTTAAGAAAGTTGAGATCAACTGAGGTCAATTAGCAGCTAAGAGGTCGAGACTCAACTAGGGCCCTAGCACTAATGACGATGATGATTTAGCATGTTTTTGAAGAAATAAGTGTATATAAAATATAGAGGAGGAGAGGTAGAACATATGTAGTGTATAGTACGGAAGTTTTGTTTACAAGTTTATCTTTAAACCAACGAAGCTCATAAAGAAAGTCTAAGATTGATCAAAGAATCAAGAAAACTGCTGTCCACTTCACTTTTAGTTGTGATATTAGAGACTACCAAAATAGTGGAATCACTACTGCAAAATAGACGATTGAGTCTTGAGGGGAGAAAAGTCGCTGGCGAACTCAAACAATGAATTGGCTCACGGTAATGTACTAGCACCTATACTTTTCAACCTCGATACCAATGAACAACCAATTATAAATAATTTGATGTCCAATTATTATAAAGAAAATTCGCTAAGATCATATCTAACTAATACTCCGGTATGCTCTAGCCACCTTCAGTCCCGACGGGCCAAAAGCAAACTCAACATCATCTGGAATAACAGCAGAGCGAAAAACAAACATACTTCGGAGTCACACTAGACCGGTCGTTAACACACAGTTTCCATTGTGAAAAAAAAAACTCGAATGAAGGTGGATCCACGTAATAACCTTTTAAGGAAAATTCACGGTCCTGACGGACCACGAATTCACAGAAAGATCCTAACAAGCCTTTGACAACCGCCACCCCCTATTTGGCTACGAACCATATTCTGACAGACTAGAATCAAGAATCACTAACAGAAACTCGGCACTCATTGAATGCTCGACGTGGCGCATGCTCAATTGTTTAAGAACTGGCGTAGCCCCGACCAAATCAAACCTTTTCAGATCTGACCTGCTGTACATAAATGACAAGGGTGACTGAGGAGCAATACAGAACACGGAGCAGCTACTAGTCTGCTCAAACTTCTCGCATAGGTGTACTGTCAACGAATTATGGACAGGCAACCAATTAGCATTGGACACAGCCCAATAGTGGACCCAGAAACTATAGTGTTCCGGACACGAACAAGTGTAAGTGTAGTTGTGGTTCAGTATACGTTGTAAAAACAAAACATAGGATAAATACTCTCTTGACTGAAGAATACATAAGAGGAACTGTGACCGTAGTTACTGCGAAAGATCAGCTGTTGTAGAAAACAATTAGGAAGATGCCAAATCCAATGATATTAAGACCGGTGGAACATTTCCTTTGATAATGGGTGCCGAAGTTGAAATGTCAGTGAGAAATAATTCCAGGCCATGGTCTCTAAAATGAAAATATTGATATATGGATTATTAAAAAAATAGTTTATGTTTTGAGTGAATTTTCAATTATATTCCAATCTTCTTCTTCAAGTGCCATCTCCGCGGCGGAGGTCGGCAATCATCATAGCTATTCGGACTTTTGAGACGGCTGCTCTGAAAAGTTCATTTAATGTACATCCGTACCACTCTCTCAGGTTGCGCAGCCATGACATTCTACGCCTCCGTATGCTTCTCTTTCCTTGGATCTTTCCCTTCATAATCAGTTGGAGTAAGGTGTATTTCTCTCCACGTGTAATATGTCCGAGATATTCTAATTTTATTGTTTTAATTGTATTTAAAATTTCGATTTCTTTATTCATCCTTCTCAGAACCTCTTTGTTTGTAACGTGTTCTGTCCATGATATTTTCAGAATTCTTCTATACACCCATCGCTTGAATGATTCCAGTTTTTTCCATAAAATAAAGTCGAAAAAACATAGAACCTTGCCAGCCTAACTCCATAACCTGAACTCCATATTCCAATGGGTAAATAAAATTAAATAAAAACAAATAGTTTTTTATATCTAATGACAGCTGTATATATTATTTTCATTCTAGGTAAATTTTAAAGATGATTACCAAAGCGTATGGACATTTTATAAAAATGAAAACTCTAAATACACTGACGTAATCACCCTAAGAAGCGGCGATTTCAATATGGACGGCTATCCAGACATTTTAGCTACTCTAACTCCAGTATCAAGTAGTACACCACAATCCTTCCTTTTAGAGAACGTCCCGTGTCAAAACTATTGTGGTTCTCTAAAACGGACGTATGAAGTTCGATGGTCCTCTTTAAATCCCTTTAAAAATGGTACAATAATGGCAGCGTTCTTTGATTTCTATCAGGACGGTATTCTTGATTGCATTGTTGTCCAATCAGTTGCTGGGGAGTATAAGACCGCAGCTTTCAAGAATAGTTTGGATTATGATGCCAATTTCATTAAGGTTATGGTACTCACCGGGTTGACTAATAAGAATAACCCGATGATGATGGGTCGAGTGGGGAAGAAACGAAGAACGTATGGAACAAATTTACCAGGTAATTTGAAACATGTACTCTAATTAATTTTAAAAAATTATTAATCACTCAATATTAGTGTATTATACATGATTCACTTAGAACATATCGTCTATATAGAGGTAAAACTCACTAAGTGACATTTTAGCTCAAAACCATGTTTGTATCAGTAAGTAACATTTAACATCTAAACTTTCGCGTGGTAAAACTCACTAGGCGCTACGTCTAATAATAAGGCAGTTATAGAATGGTAAAAAACATTCAGTGCACTTTGTCTAAATTTCGTTGGGAGGTAAAAGTCAGGTTGTACTTAATGATTTTTACCTCTATGGCAATACTTTTAATACGGGGTTTTGTAGTTTGACAGTTGCATACTTAATGAGAGTTTGAGGTTAGGTTTTAGTCTCTGTGGATGTGTGCAGTTGTTAGTAAAATTGTTAGAAGTATAATAATATAGTGTAAATATACGCTGTCTCTTTGAAAGTTTGTGCCAAATTAATAGCCAAAATGAAAAAAACTTTTACAGACAAACTTTTTGATTCATCAAAACCTTCTACGAGTTCTGAGGTATGTAATATCAAGTGACATAGTTTAAAATTACTTTAAAACAATTTAATTTTTATTTCAGAGATTTTCAAATCGTATTAAACGAGTGTTTGCCAGTTCCAGAACAACTAGGATGGTCGAAAGTGTATTACATAAAGAAAATGAAAAACCAATGACACTAACAAAAAATGTAAATATTTACTTCCTGCCTAGTGTTTAAACGTTTTTTTTTTTATAATAAGTTATGTGTGTATGTAGTTACTGAATTTTGTATTTAATTTCCAGAATGTGCAGTCATTTCAACAAACAAAAATCAATGAGTTATTTGGTCACATTGAGGATGAGAAGACTGTTCCAGATAAGGTAAAGAAATACAGATTACTTATTATATTTGTTATCCAAATAATTCGTCATAATTCATCCCAAAGTCATCATCACAAAAATCCAGTCCGATGTTGCATCCACTGCTGAACATAGGCCTCCATAAAATTACTCCATTGGATTATCATCATGCAAAGACTAATTAACTTTTGTATTTCAGGTGTCGAAAGAGGATGTTGTAATGGCAAGAGTAAAAAGACAACAACATACATTAAAAATCGTTCCGTATTCGTCAAGCAGTGACAGTGATTTTTCTTCTGATGACATAGATATGGACCCCTGTTTCAGACCACCAAATTCACCTCTTTCTCCGACACCAGATATCTCCGATTTATCAGACTCCGATGAAGCTACAGAAATTAATGCCAAAAAATGTACATTAACAAGAAGGCGAAAACGAAATGAAAAGAACTGGAAAGTAAACATTACTAAAGAGAAGCGTTCCAAATGTGAGCCATATTATAACAAATTTAAACAATGCAATGCAAAGGGTCCCAAATTTGTTGATTGTACAAATTGCAGATATAAATGCTCATTAAATTTTAATGAAGAGGATAGGAAGACATTGTGTCAATCATATTGGTCTTTCAATGATTTTAAGAGGCAAAAAGATTTTATAATAAAAAATGTTACACCGGTTAAGCCAAAACGTTTAAAAAATAATGTTATCAACAAAACGGTTTCAAGATTGTACTTCCTTGAAAGTCCCTTAGGACGGCACAGAGTATGTGCCAAGTTTTTTGAGAGAACTCTTTGCATTTCTAATGGTCCCATAAACACGGCCTTACAAGGAACCAATTCAGCAGGTTGTTTTTTCAGTGAAGATAAAAGGGGTCGCAAAATCCCAGCAAACGCTACTAATGAAGAGTCTATCCAACTGGTAAAAAACCATATAGAGTCATTCCCTGCTGTAGAGTCACATTATACAAGGGCCACCAGTCAAAGACTGTATTTAGACTCTAAATTATCAATTAAAAAAATGTACAATCTCTATCTCGAAAGTCTAGCTGAAAATCAAAAGCCAGTCAGCCATTGGAAATACAGGCAAATTTTTGGCAATGACTATAATTACTCTTTTTTCGTTCCTAAAAAGGATCAATGTGCAGCATGCAGTAAATATAACATGGCAGATGCAACAAAAAAACAAGATTTAGAACTAGAATATTCAATGCACATAATAAGAAAGAATGAATGCCATGAAGCAAAAAATACAGACAAAAAGTTATCTCAAAATGACAAGACATTTAAAACAGCAACATTCGACCTTCAAAGTGTATTGCAACTACCTCACTCCCCAGTATCCCCATTTTACTACTCTCGAAAATTGTGTGTATACAATTTAACCATTTATGAGGGAGATGGTGAGCACGCATCTTGCTACTGCTGGAATGAAGTTAATGGAAAGCGTGGTAGCAACGAAATTGGATCTATTCTGTTAAATTATATTACAAACTTACCCTCCACAGTTCTGAAAATATCGTTGTTTTCAGACACTTGTGGAGGTCAAAATAGAAACCAACAAGTAGCTGCTGCACTTCTCTATGCAGTGCATACTACGCACTTGGAATGCATAGAACAGAAATTTTTGGAGTCAGGACATAGTCATATGGAGTGCGACTCTATGCATTCGGCGATAGAGCATTCTAAAAAAAACCGAACAGCTTTTATCATGAACGATTGGCTGGAAATATTTAGGTTAGCACGGCAGAAAAGATTACAGAAGGAGCCGTATGCAGTACGAGAACTTAAATATACCGATTTCTATGATCTAAATAATTTGGCACGAACGATAATAAAAAATAGAACGAAAGATGAAGATGGCTGCACAGTATCCTGGCTAAAAATTAAATGCTTCAAATTTGTAAAAGAACATACCGATGTGATTTTTTTTAGATATGACCATTCATCGCCGTATAAAAAATTAATTATTTCTTGTGGTCCAGGAAGAAGGAGTAATCGGGATATTTCAGAAATAAGATTAAAATCTCTCTATAACGATTTACTCCCAATTTCAACTTTGAAGAAACGAGATCTAGTCAAACTTTGCAACGACAATCTCATACCAGATGAAGTTCATCATTATTATAAAAATCTACCAACAAGTACCTCTACAAATGAAAACCTACCAGAACCGAATTTTGATGAGGAATCAGAAGATTCAACATAAATTCATCCTTAAAATAAGTTTTTTTGTTATATCTTGTTATGTTGTGTTCAATTATACAGGAATTTATTATAATTTGTAATAGTAAACGAAATATTAACATTTTTCATCACTTTCTATCTAGTTACTTTATCCCTAAGTACCAATCAGGAATATGATAGTTTGAGGTAAAATTCATTAAGTACATTTAGCTTAATAATTTTAAAATTATTGAGTTATGATCATTTCTTTTAAAACAGGATAGTAAAGTAACACCTAACCCCCATAAATAATATCACTTCTATCTATAATAATCATAAATAAAATTATAAAGTAAAAAACGAACAAAATGTTAAATATCTCTGTTGTATTTATTTTGCAGTTAGTGAGTTTTACTTCTATATAGACGATATTTTGTTGAAAGAGTTTTATATATAAAAATAAGAGTATTATTTTTTTGTTTCAAATATAAATAATAAATAAATAATAAAATTACTTTATTCAATTTTAAAAATCTTATTTAAATTTTAAGAATACAGAAACCATTACAGTATGAAGATTCGCGCTAGTGTACTGTACGCTGTTTTTTTTAACATAATTAGTTCTTTATAATTTTGTGATTAATTATGGTCTGTAAATTTTAATTCTCTTAACTTTTTTATAACTTTTTTACTTACCTCTAACAGTCACCATTATTTCCGTTTTTAAATCTCACCGGATCTTTTCTATAACAATTACTGATTTTCCATATCTAGTCTTTTATTGTTTTCTGATAATGCCGTCTTTATTTTTATACAGGTCTATATAAAATTGTTTCATAATTATTTTGGTTTTTCTCTTTTTTTCTGTTCTTAAAGCATTTCTTTACATTTTACTTTTATAATAAGTAATATGAATACAGATTAATCGTCATATTACTAATCATTCAATAAATAGAATAGCTCGATAAGCACTAGGTATATTGAGAAAATTACTACCAGTGAGACCAGCAAAATACTAATCAAAATAAAGCGAAAACATAAATAAATGCTATACCTATTAAAAGTCTATAAAATTGTCAAAAGAATGAATTTATAAATACGAGCTCAAAATATTTTTACATTAAAGTTAAAATGTCGCCTGTAATTGGTGTATAAATAAAAAAATCCAAATGGATTACAATATTTGATTTCTTTTCAGAACGTTTTCGGACCTATCAGTCCATGTTCAGTTACTTGCGCTAATAACCGCATCACCAAGTAGGGGGTGGGTTTAAATTGAAAGTTGCATAGTTCCGTATCTGTATCTGTAGAGTAGGAAGGGCGAGTTAAGTTTCACAGAACTTAGGCCACAATTGACCCATTGTGCATCCTTCCAGGGAGCTGTCGCCCTTAGCTCATTGTCCATCCTGCCATTTCTAGTTCAATCAACTGTCAAGCGTAGGTTTTGTCATTCCCAAGTACTTCTTTGATGCTGACTCTTCTAGGTTTCTTAGTGTTACCCTGGTAAGTTTACATCTTTGTCCTTCTTCCCATCTTTTTACGGTTTGCGAATACGGTTTACGAATAACAACAAAAGAAGTAGAAGAAGTATGTAAGTCTTTAAAAAATAACAAAGCACCAGGACCAGGGAACATACCAGCTGAACTAATAAAATATGGCACAACAAAATTATATGAAAACCTGGCTAAACTCTTTCAAAGATACATCAACGGAGCGGAAATCCCAGAAGAATGGAAGACATCATGGATATCCACCATACATAAAAAAGGCAGTCGGGATCAATGTGACAACTACAGAGGCATCGCTGTAACGAACTCGATCAGCCGAATATACGGAAAACTGATTAAAAATAAAATCGAAAACGAATATAAAGATATAGAAGTTGAAGAACAGGCAGGATTCCGGACAGGGAGATCAACGGTAGACCATCTGTTTTGTATTACACAGATTATTGAGAAGAAACTGGCCGTCAACCAGGAGGTGCATCTGTTATATGTGGACTTGAGAAAAGCGTATGATAGCATCCCACAAAACAAACTATGGGAAGCATTAGAGAAAACCAATATAAGCGCAAATTTAATAACAGCGTCGAAACACTTATTGTATACCAAAACTGCAGCAAGTGTGAAAGTTGGAAGCGGGCTATCGAAAGGATTCCAAATTAGCAAAGGCCTAAAACAAGGGTGCTGCCTTTCACCGACATTATTTAAGATCTACCTCGAGCAAACTCTAAAACTTTGGAAACGCAAATGCAAAAACATGGGATTACCGATCAACAACAATACAATATACACTTTGTCATTTGCAGACGACCAACTTGTACTAGCGCAAGACTACGATAATATAGAATATATGACAAGGAAATTAATAGAGGAGTACAAAAAAGGTGGTTTGGAAATAAACATAAAAAAGACCGAATATATGTGTATCGGTGGGACACAGCAGGACCTTACACTGGGGAATGGCGAAATTATTAAACATTGCGACGCATATAAATACCTGGGTATGACCATCACACAAGAAGGAAACGTAGACCGGACGATAGAAGAAAGAAACAACGAGGGAAGAAAAGCAATTACCCTTCTCAATAGCATACTGTGGGACCAGGCAATATCAAACAACAACAAACATAGAATATACAATACAATTGTTAAGAGTATAATCACTTACAGCAGTGAAGTATGGCAAATAAAAGAAAGATACAAGAGAAAACCTGAAGCAACAGAAATGGATTTCTGGAGGCGCTCAGCAGGAAAATCAAGATTAGAAAGGGTAACCAACAACAGAATTAGGGAAATAATGAATGTGAAACACACAATAGTAGATGACATTAGTACCAAACAGCTTAGATGGTATGGACACGTACAAAGAATGTCCGAAGAACGACTCCCGAAACAAATCCTAACGTGGACCCCTCATGGTAGACGAAAAAGAGGAAGACCCCGCCTTAGTTGGAGAGAAGGCATAAATCGAAGTATGAGAGAAAGAGAATTAGATGAAGACCTTTGGATGGACCGAAGTGAATGGCGACTAGGCATCGGAAGACGTAGGAGAACGTTTTAAAACCGATATATATATATATATATATATATATATATATATATATATATATATATATATATATATATATATATATATGTATGGGAGTGACATTTGACAATTTCCGCGATTCTTGTAGTTGACCGACCAAAAAGATCCCAGGTCCTAAGAGTCTTAGGCCTGCCGCCTGCCGCCTTGCTAGCCAATTGGTCAGCAATGCGGTTTCCTTTATTCCTATTGCGTCCTTTAACCCACCTCAGGATGATGGTATTACCATTCGAAGCTTGAGTTAGTGACTCGTGATACTCCATTACTAACTCTGATGTGACACGTGCTCTATTCGAGGTTAGTAGCGCTTGTCTGCTATCTTTTGCGGCTATAGAGATATCAACCAGTTCTGTCTGAACTACGCTGGCATTTTTGTCCACACCCCACTGTATTCTTAGGTTCAGTGATTTTGAGTATATTACGCATCCTGAGCCTTCTTTCATTTTGAAGCCATCGGTGTATATACAATAGGCATTTGCGACGTTTGACTCCCTATACTGTCTTGTTTCGATTTTGTAGGGTTTGTTCAAGACAAACTTTGGTTCAATTGAGTCGCAGCCTGCCTGTAGCAGTGGTAGCGTATCAAACATCTCTCCGCCAGAAACGAGTTCTCAATTGTCCCATTCCTATATCAAGGTTTTGCACCAGCTGAGCGCAGTCGCATCATTGTCACTAGCGCCACCAAGGAATATATCTTAGAGCCAAAGAAGCTCTGAATATTTCCACGAGGTGCGGCAGAAGGATATCCAGTCCCCACCGTAGTAGGGCTGGATATATGCCGTCAGACCCTGGTGATTTGAAAGGGGTGAAGCACAATATGGCCCATTTTACCTTTATCTCATTAATCATTGTTCTGGTGAGAAGGCAGTCGTTGATTGAGGGTATGATTGCTTCTTCCATCCAGTTTGGTGCTGTTGAGACATAACAACTGGGAAAGTGTCTTTTCATCAGGACCTCAGCACTTTCGCAAAGGTTGGAAGTTTTGTTTCCATCTTCCTTCGTTAATATGCTGACATGCCGATACGAGTCCTTTGATAGCGCTTTTTGTAGCCTGGAAGCCTGCGAGAAATCTTCGATTTCCTCACAGAAGGTTCTCCAAGCAGCTCTTTGTCTTTGTCTGCAGACTTTTTTAAGTGATATTGAGTCAAGAATCAAGTCCTCTTGATAAGAATCCCAATCCTCTTTGAGTTTGATGCGTTTTACTCTATTAAAAGCTGTTCTTGCTATGTTCCTAAGGTGTTCCAATTCAACACACCACCAAGAGTTGGTTTTGCGACTTTCCTGGACCATCCTTATTGTACAGGATTTTTAAAGGCATATCTTATTTTGTTTTGGATATATACCGTACACCTTTCCAATTTTGTATTAGTTCCTGGAGTTGAAGCCTTTTCATTCCGCAGAGCATCTTCTAATAGTCGGTTGGAGAGTTCTACATCCGTCCTTCTAGGTTCGCGCGATTTAATATGGCTTTTTTCCAGACTAATATTATAGGTTAACCAGCGGTGGTCAGACATAGAGATATCCTCCGATACTTGCCAGTTCTGAATTTTATTCAATATTTCAGATGTTTATAGTGTGATATCTATGACTGTTTTATCAGCCACGAACATTAATTTTTGTCGATGTCGTAATGTCGATGAATATAAATTTAACTGTCCGGGAACGGTATGTCCCTACTTAAACAGCACTTACATAAGTTTTGGTCTGTAGTAGTCAGCTAACTGTTTATCCATCCCTAGGAACTATACCACTTTAAGTTAAAAATAATGTTAAATAAAAAGTCATTTTTCATCAGTAATGTAGGTAGTATTTTATTAAAAATTATAGGTCATAAAATAAATCCTTTTAAAAAATTTTGATTTTAGGTCCTTCCATATCTTACACAACAACAACACAAGAAGGCAATATCCGTCATGGACTCTCGTGTCAGCTTCCTCAATCGGCTCATTTTAGTCTCAGCCTTCCATACACAATCTTTGGTCTAGGCCGAACGCCAAATTTTGTAGACAAAGTCACAGTGGGACTTTCAAACTACTCCAAAGACTGGACTCAAATCATCCCGAATTCTCAAATGGTAGTCATACCATGGCCTACCACCGAGCCATACAAATGGAAAGCTCAACTGTTTGTGACGCCCAGCAAACTGATCCTAATGTCAGTCGCGGCCTTGACTACCGTATGTGGTTTGATTACTGTGATAATAGGCGTCCTGCACTGGAAAGAGCGACAGGAGGACAAGAAGGAGAGGTTGTCGGAGTCCCATAGGTTCCATTTCGATGCAATGTGATTTTATTAGTATTATACATTAATATTTTAGATTTTCAGGATTATTATTAAGCAAAAAATGCTAACATTTGTTATTTTAACAAACCTTTCATAACTCCATTGTATAGACAAGCTTTGTCAAGTGATTTAACAATACATCTGCTTTCTAAATAACTTTATTTTCAGTTTTATCTCATACTCTGTATATACATTAATAGTATTTCCTCTATATTCAGAATTTCGAATACAATTCTTCGAATCGAATAATATTATCAGAATTGGAATTTCATTTCTTTTTCTCCATTATTTTTTAATATGTACGCTGAAAATGTATGCTATGACCCAGTGTTGCCAATCGGCGCATAATTATGCGATTTGCGCATAATTTAGTTTACGGCGCATAATTTTCGCATCCTGCATAAAATCACATAATTTCGCACAATCCAGCAAATAAAAAAAAACAATAACAAGCCACAGTTTATAATAAGAGTCCTCGTCTTCTTTTTTTTAACAAAACGTTTGTGCTGACATTTTACACAGCCACAGAATAATAAACAATTGTTATTTATTCTGTGACACAGCATTATCTTTAGCAAATAAAAATTACTGTCAATTACTGACATTACTGTATCGAAGAAAATTTCCATTCTATGGCGGCATTAGAAAACAAATTTACAATATATAAAAATTGATTTTCGGTCACCTGAGGACCTGTGACCTGAGTCACCTCCATTAAGGGTGGTTTAGGGTTAACCCGGGAGTGGACGGGTTAACTTAATGACCTTATGTTATTGTATTTTTGTTGTTTTATTTAAAAAAAATACAGAAATTAAGCTAAAACCTAGCATTTTCTGCTTTATTTAACTTTTATTGGCATTTAGTAAACAAATGTTTTCCAAAATTTCTACAGATGTTTTATTAAAATACAAATATTAACCTACCTACACAATTTTGTTATAACAATAAATAGAAAAAATCTCTGCACAAAATATAAGTTTGAATTTTACCCCAAATTGTTCCCTGTGCAATAGGAGCAACATGCTACAATATGCTCCATACCCAACCATAGATTAGGGTACACAACCAGAATAGACAAAATGTGGAAAAATATCGCGTTTTCCGTCTTTTGCAATTGCTTTCTTTATTGGTGGTCATTTCTAATGGGCCTGTATAGAAGTATTTGATAGGCGCAGTGCTGATTGTTGTACAACTCAAGACTCATCAAGCTAAATGAGGGTTCAAAACTCTTCTCATATTTTTTTTTGTTGTATTTATAAATCTTTCATAAATAATCTTCTGCAATTCTTAAATTCTGAATTGTTTCTTTTTTGTATAATTCGAAAGAAGTAACAAGCAACATTCATAAGGCCATAGAATACTACCATAGGCCAAAGTCTAGTGTTTCTAGCAGTATTATAGGAAGATATTTGGCTGTTAATTAATAACGTCTACTCCTACCTTTGTCAGATCGTAAAATGTAACAATTTCTATGTAATAATTTGTAAAAAAACCGAAGATAACTGCATTACAAGTATATGAATCTAAATTTCCTTTAGTAACACAAGTGGGTGGGTGATATCAGCCAGTACATATATTAAATATCTAAAAACAAAAAATTAATTTGTTTTAAAAAATATCACCATTATTTGGATTGTACAATTATTGAAAGGTACTGAAAAGGCCATTTGTATAATATAAAAAGCATTTTTACAATACAATCATTTTTCATTCTTTATAGTAAGGATCTAACTATAAAGTGCTCTGTTATTCCCCAAGCAAATATTTCTCACCAGAAAATCCCCTTATCTGGCAATACCCAATTAATACACATTGAAGGAAAGATTTTACATATATTTGAGTAGGTAAGTACTTCACATTTGTATTTACGGGGATTTCACATAGAATTACATATATAAGGCAAAAGTTGAAAAAAATTAAATTAATTCAAGCCTACTTCTTCAACTGTTACTTTGTGTGTTAATGTGTCGTGTTTGTACAAAGAAGAAAATAAAAAAAATATAGAAAATGGATAAGTGGCTTTCCAGTTTTAAGGTAAATATAAAAAAATAGTTAAAAGAAGTTAAAATTATTTATTTATATATAATAGAGAAATCACATAAACATGAATCATAACTGAATTTGTACCTTCTAGGAGACATGTTTAATAGTTTGAAATAATTATTTTTTGTTCTCATTAAAAATCATTTCCTATACAATAATTAATGGTTATTGTTGGATTTTTTAAATATATAATATAGTTTAAAATATCTTTATACTTCTTCAAAAATCAGAATTAGTAACACATACCTACCTGCTGTGAATGAGAGGTAAAGTTCAGTAGATTTTGTATGGATCTTTCAAGCTTCTTAAAATTAAATTTTGTGTTTTAATGAAGAAATTCGTTTTTTAGAGTAAACATAAGGAAACAGATAAAAATAAGCAAAAGGATTCCCCAGCACCAATTGATATAGAAAAGCCAGGTTGCAGTTATCAAAACGAGGGCTCCCCTATTTATCCTGCTCCCACACATTCTCATATTATGAGTGACAATGGCGATACTAATAATATGGTAACATATATAAATAATTAATAATTTTAAAATTATAGAAAAACACAGACCTCAACAACTTAATTATTTATTAAAATTATATGGATAATACAATTAAACTAAACTAAAAAAACTACAAATATAAGATATAATTACAGAAATTCAGTATTACTACAGTAGTAAAATAAATTTGTATTTGAATAATATTTTATTGATTTAGATCATCTAAATTATAATTATATTTTAGAATGATCCTACAACATCAGCAAAAAAGAAAATAAAAATGGAAAAAGCCTCAAAGTATGAAAAAAAGAAGACTTTTAACAGCTCTTGGAAAAGTGTACCAGAATTCATGAATTGGTTAGAAAAATCTACAAAACAACCATCATCTGAGGGTAATGAGTACGCCTATTGCAAGGTATGTGATTGTGATATTGTAGCTCATAAAAGTGTATTATTGAAACATTCAACAAGTGACAGGCATAAATTAAATTGGACAAAAGTGACTAGCAATATTAAACTTACTGAACTGTATAAACCAAATGCTGATGATTTAGCTGTAAAAACGGCAGAGTTAAAGTTATGCGCCTTGTTGGCAAGCAATAACCTGCCATTTTTATTAGTAGACACCCTAACTCCTTTAATTCAAAATATATTTCCTGACTCGAAAATTGCTAAACAATTACATTTAAAACGAACCAAAGCGACGTCAATTATTTGCAATAACTTGGGGAATAATTTTCTTGAAGAACTATATATTAAATTAAGGGAGCCAGGATGTTTTTTTTCTTTAGTTATGGATGAAACTACTGATATTTCAATAAAAAAGCAATGTGCATTCACTACTATAATTTATGAAAATAATTCAACCAAAACACAATTTTTTGATCTTGTTGAAGCTCAGGGATCAACAGCTAATGATTTATATGGTATTCTAAAGAACTGTTTAACTTCAAAGAATATTCCACTAACAAATTTTGTAGGGTTTTCATCAGATACCACCAATGTTATGGTTGGAGAGTTTAATTCTGTATTTTCCAAGTTAAAGGAAGAATTTCCACATATAATATGTATTAGATGCTCATGTCATATGGCACATTTAGCTACATCAAAAGCCTGTTTAAAATTACCTAGGCATGTGGAAGATCTGCTCCGAAACATAGGCAGTCACTTTAATAGGAGTGCTTTGAGGAGACACAAATTTATAGAGTTTCAAAATTTTTTTCAAGTGAAAATTCACAAGATACTCTCTCCAGCCATAACAAGATGGTTATCTATTAAAGAATGTGTCGATAGAGTGCTTGAGCAATATGAGCCACTTAGAGCATATTTGACAGAATATGTATTTGAAGACCCATCAATTACAACAGAGACAATGTTGGAAACCATGTCAAATTTGTTCACACCAGTATATCTAGAGTTTATGTCATATTCTTTAGGACTAATGACAGACTTCAATTTACTCTTTCAGTCAGAAAAAACCACTTCTTTGTAAGGTTAAGCCACAAACTGAAACTCTGTTGAGAACGCTTTGTTCCAATTTTATAAAGATGTCTGTAATAAAAAGAACCAATGACATATTTATCCTTAACCATGAAAACCCTACAAATTTTGTTAGTCTACATGATATTTATATAGGAATTGCTGCAACAGAAAGCTTGCAAGAATTAAAAAAAAAATCCAAATATAAACAAACAAGAATTTGATAGTTTTTTTAAATGTATTTTAGAATTCTATATAGAATTAGTTAGTAATATTAAAAATCGATTCACCTTTAAAGACCCTATCTATAAAATAATTTCAATATTGGATCCCAAAATTGCACAAAGTTTTGAAATAAAATCATTACAATGTGTAACTAATCAATTTCCTATTTTAAAAGAATATGTTAATATTCAGGAGTTAGACAATGAATGGAGAAGACATGCTCTATTAGACTTTGAAAAATTAAATTTAAATTCAGATGACTGTGAGCAATATTGGTCTCAAATATTTAATTTAAAAAATGATGCTAATGCTTTTTTATTTCCGAATTTAAAAAAGACGCTACAGCTACTTTTTGTTTTACCATTCTCTAATGCCAGTGTAGAACGTATATTTAGTGATTTGTTTAACATAAAAAGTGACAAACGGAATTTATTAAACACTTCAACTGCAAAAGCTATTTTGGCAACCAAAGCAGGAGTTGAAAACAATGGCGGTTGCTTAAAATTCATACCATCCAAAAAAATGCTAGGCCATAATATATGGAAAGACAATCAGTAGCTTGTATTTTAATATAGTATGTTTTTACTTTAAGTATACGTTTTTATTTAAGATTTTTTGTTAAATAGAATAATTTACATTAGGAGTTTAAAATATGTAATCTGTTGTTTACATGTAAGTACTATTTATAACTGATGATTAAAGTTAGATTATTACAAAAGATGTATATTTTTGAAAATTTCAAATTTTGATCCTATTTTTCAATTCTAAAGGTACATTTCCAGTCCAGGTGCGCTATATTGCTATAAGCTATATTGTTCATAGTTTTTAAGTTATAATCGTGTACCAGTACCACACACTTTCTTTTTCTTATCTTTATCTTTCTGTTAACCTCAACACTAAACAAATAAAAACTAAAAAC